GTGTGTTGCATGTTCAGTATTATATTACCTCCTCACTGCAGGGCAGATGGTCTATACTGTCAGGCAACGCTGTGGTAGGCAATTAGCCATCGAGGCTCCAACAGACGCAGACGTGGTCAGCACTGTGCCTGAGTCTGCAACTCCTGCTGCACTGGGCTACGCTCAGCAGGTCTGTCTACAAACTGTTTGCTCTAAGAAATGCTGTAAAACCTCCTCACCTCCTGATGGACCCGTCCTCACAAGATTTGCTCTTCTGGTTGTTATCTCACAGTCTGGGCTGCCATATATAGAGGTTCTGTGTAAGAACCGCTACGTTGGGAGAACATTTATTCAACCAAATACCCGCTTGAGGCAGTTAGGAGTTGCCAAGAAGTTTGGAGCTTTGACAGACAACTTTGATGGGAAACGAGTGGTGCTAGTTGATGACTCCATCGTCAGAGGCAACACCATCGCCCCCATTATAAAACTGCTGAAGGAAGCTGGTGCAACTGAGGTTTGTTGACTAAAGATGTTACATACTCTGAAGTATTTGATGACATAATACAATGTCTGAATAGTGGTCCCTAATCTGGGGATTGGGACACTCACAAAGGATTGCAAGATCTTTTTGAGGGGTCCCAAGATGGTGAAAAGGACAGGAAAGCAGAAAGTAAAATTTTTTTATTTTTTGAAACCGTGTCTTTGCCGTTTGTTCTCATACAATTTCCCACGTGGACAATAAAGTTCCTAACTAGGTAAAATACTATATTTTGGTTTAGGTCCATATCAGGGTAGCCTCTCCACCAATCAGGTTCCCTTGCTACATGGGGATCAATATTCCAACCAAGGAGGAGCTCATCGCCAACAAGCCAGAGTTTCAGAACATTGCTAGATACATTGGTAAGTACTAATCAACGTATACACTCACCGGCCACTTCATTTGGTACACTTGTACAATCCATGTGATCCAATACAACACCTCTGCCTTGCATTCTGCTATTTAATAATCTGTTTTGATCGATGCTGTCAGAGAATTAATTTAACTACGGTTATTATTGAGGTTGCAGGATGCAGCGGTGTTGAACTGGACTATATTATTTTGATTGGTGTTTCTAATATTTTGGCTATGCTATTTACATATATGAAAAGAGCCATAATATTAGAAACACCTGTCAATATAATGCACTCCAGTGGACCACCACCACCACCTGCTATGACATGGTATATCTCACTGACAATGTTCAAAGTAGTGTGAACACAATCGTGTGTGTACTCTTCTCACTCGTTTACTTCATCGTCCATTTGGTGTATCTCAATTGACTTTTGAACTGTCATACAGGTGCAGACAGTGTTCAGTATCTGACTGTGGAGGGCCTGTTATCAGCTGTCCAGGAGGGAATCCCCTCCCTCCAGGACAAGGACAAGGACAAGATGATCAGCTCCAGTAACAAGTCCAGCAAGAGAGTGGGTCACTGCACAGCCTGTCTGACTGGGAAATATCCAGTAGAGCTGGAGTGGTAACTGGTGTACCAACGCCATGACCAAGCAGCAGAACTGTGGATTTACCGCAAGCTCCCACAGCTGATCCATGTGAATGAAATAGACTGGAAAAGAAGTGGTCGGGGTTCTAAATACTGCTAGGTGGGACACTAAGAGACCAATTAAATACACAATGTATGCTTTCTCTTCCGAGGGTCATTATGAAAGTCTGTTTACTATATCCTGATACCACTAAAGTGGGATTACAGGTGCACATGTCTGACCGCACAACACTCATTCTTTTACCATATAAATGTATTTTTCACAAGTCTTAATTTGTTTCAGATTTTTTTTTTTTTCACATTCCAAGCCTCAACAGGAGCATTAGATATTAACTAGTGACCAAAAAGTGAAACTGTCCTTATTTTCCGTATCAAGTTTACTTTTCTACTTTTACCCTAAATCACTATGCTCTTTAGTCTGGCTGTTGGATATATTTTGGCTTTACTTTGAACATTACATGAATATAATGTAGAAGTTAAATAATAAACTGCAATGAGAACATGCATGTCATCTTTTTCTTCCACCAGAAATATCATTTTCACATTTACACAATTTTATTTTAATAATGAACAGATCGTAAAAGGAATAATCAGCTAATGATGCAAGACAGCAGAAAAAGTAAAAATTAAAACATCCAAACAGGAACACAAACTAGGATGGAACACAACTGGACATATAAACACTTGGAGCTTAAACATGTCACAACAATTTTCCTGAGCTCACACTGTGCCAGCCAAATGTTTCCAGTGTCGCTGTTTGGTTATCGGGTACTGTACTATCCACTTTTCACCAATATTTGTATGGGAAACCTCACTGCTACACAATACATTCACAGTGACGTTTGTTACATGATAAAAGCACAGCGATACTTGTTAGAGGATTCTTGTGGGCAGGCCTTGCTCACCATTTTCTGTACATGCTGAGGAAGAAGAGAGGGTGATAATGAGAACACAGGAATGCTGGGAGCCAGAAAACAATCTACAAAAGGAATTATAGTTACCTGGGGGAGTAACCATTGGCCATTTTGCTCTTGAGTGAACCTCCTGTTGAATGAAACATGATAATGAAAGGAGGAATCAGTCATAACAGGAATGAACACCTACACAAACTGCTTAATTTAACACTAGACAGGACATGAATAAGAACTTCTGGAGCATAATCCAGTGTTTTCAAGAAGAGGCTCACCGAGCGCAGAAAATTCAGCTGCTGATACGTGGCGGCCCTGGCTCATCCAGGTTTCCTGATGTGCACCTGCTGAGCGGTTGTGTGTGCTTTGAAATGTCTCGTGTTTACTGGGGCTGTAGGAGCGGTCATCATGTGACTGCTCGTATTCAGACGGACAGATCCTGCGCCTCAGCATCTCGTTTCCATGGCGTTTGGATCCTGGGGAGGATGTGCTGTACTCGTCCCTGAAGCGTTTGGACTGGGGGTGGCTCTCCCAGCATAACTCCCTGTGGCGTTTCCTGAGGACAGAGCGGTGGGGTGACAAGGCAAGAGCCGCCAGGGCTGAGGAAGAGTGGCCTCTGCTGGCCTCAGAGCTTCTGGCACAGAAACGGCAGGGATGCCCATTAAAAAAAGATGATTTGTTCTGGCAGACAAACTTGTGGTAGAGTTTTATAAAGTCCTCGTCAAGCTTCTTTGGTGAGTAAGAGACACGGATCGATGGCAGGGACGAGTCAAAGGAAAGGTGCCGCCGGAGCCTGTGGCGACCTTCCGCTGCTGCGGCTGACTGAGGTGAATGCAGCTGTGACTGGAAGGAATGATGGGAGTCTCGATGAGGGTTAAGCATCCTCAGCGGCACAGGTCGCTTTTGCAGAGGGGAGGACAGAGAAGTGGACGTTAATCTGGGCCTCATAGGCTCGCTGGAAAAGCTTTCCACAGAATTTGCTTTGGGGCTTCTGGAAAAGGCAAGAGGTGATCTACTGAGGCTGGTCATCATCCTCGCTTTTAAGGGACTCTGCCTGAGTGGGGAGCCGTAGATGTCTGGCATGTCTTTGACGGCAGTGGTTTCCGATGCATACATGGAGCACCCATCACTCTGCGGTGAGCGTACAGCGAGAGAGAACCTTTTAGACCTGAGAGACATGTCCAAGGATGCCTTCGCAGAGGGATAGCAAGGTCGTGAAGGACTGACAGCGTAAGTGGAGGTCTGTTCTCCCAGCTGGGATACTTCGGGAGGAGACAGCTGAGACACAGTGAAGGTCTCATTCAGTGAGATCTCTTTTTGTTTAGAGGTTTCAGAGAGGTCCATCACAAGGATAGGCTGGTGCTGCTCTCTTCTCACCGAGCCTATTACCCTCCCAGGAGACTGTGGCTGTGCTTGCCAATCCTGCAGATTGTTTACTATCTGCAAGGGAGACCGAGCTGTAGTTTCAGTTCTCATGAAAGGGCTTTTCACGCGGCTGTCGGAGTTCTCCTTGAGCAGCGTCTTGCTGGTCATTTTTCTGGAGTTGCTGCTGGCCTGTCTCGGCATAACAATGAAGGTGTTGTTGAGATAGCTTTTGTTTGACTGCTGTCGCCACCTGCGATACCTCCTCAGCACCGAGTCAGCGGCCTCGGAGACATGCTGCCGATGCCAGGCCCTCCCTATTCGACTGATCATGCTTGGGTAGAGCTCCACCAAAGAGCTGCCGTGACTTCTCAGAGACATTTCCAGCTCCTCGTCTTGGTCCTCGGGCTGGAACTCCGTCTCAGAAAGGCTTCTCTGACTCTGATCCAATGAGCTCACAGTCAGCTGAGTTGTGTCACTTCTAGCCATCCCTGCGGGACACAAGAGAGGAGAAACGTCACTTCAAATTACACCACAGCAGCTTGTCCTGCCATGTTCTGCTTTAAAAAGTGTGCCTGTTGCTTTCTTGCTCTTACCGTCATCCTCCACAGACAACTGGGTAGTGGAAATACTAGAAATACTAGAAACACAAGTCTCATCAGCTCCACTATCTTGATGTGTGATGTCCAACTGTTGAAAATAAACCATAATAAATTTAAGGTATGCTAGATATTTAAGACGGAACTATCTAAACAAATAAAGTACATTTACCTGAGAGTCTCTTGTAATGTCCTGGGCTGTGGTGGAAGAAAAGTAGTCAGATAAAACAAATATGCAATTTATCTCTGTAAATTGATATTCTCGTTTTCTGTTATGGATACTTGCCTCTTAATGAGTCATCTCTCAAGTCTGTCAGGCTCTGAGGAGATGAGAAGTTTTTGATTATACTAGCTGTACATATATTTCATATCTGAATTCAGTTTGGACTTGCAGACCATAAAACAGCTCCCTAAATCAGGTCATATGTGACTGCAGAACATGCTCATAACAAGCCTAACCTTTGATTCCAGCTTGTTGAGCTCCGTTTTTGACAGCTTCATGTAGTGTTCAAGTGCTTCATTGTGCAAGGAGTCAAGAGAGAAAAGACACACAATGAGATTAGGCTGCGCATCTTAAAACCAGTGGCACGACGCTAGGAAATGATCATCAAGTGACCTGTCCACACGGTTTATTTTCTGTATACTATGTTACATCTGCATGACTTATTGTAATGTTACAGCGAGTCTCTTGCATTGAACCATCGGCAGAAGCAATGTCTTCATAGCTTTTTAACGTTACTTCACTAACTTACTTTGTGGTTTCATATCGTCGAGGTCCACCTCTATCCCCCCGTCTTGGTATTGAAGCTTTGAATACTGTTGAAAACAATTACATAGTTAAGCAAACTCGTTTTTTCACATCACCATTCTTCATCTTTAAAGTTAAGTTAGCTAACGTTACTTCACTTCATGCTAACGGTAACGTTACCGCCGCCCGATAGCGTCATCAACACACCTTGTCTATGATTCGAGCCAGTGACCTTTTGTAGGTTAGGCTGTTGTCACACAGTTGTTTCTTCAAAAACTCGTCCATATTGTATTTAAAAGTAAGTGTTGTTGATATTTCTAGGTGGTGAAAGTAGAAGCGCTAACTGAACCAACACAAAAGGCGCTCTTGGGTTCAAAATGTTTCGCCACAAAATAGAGACGGGTGATTGGACAGGGTTGCGCGCGGTGCCTTCACCGCTGCTAGGAAATCGTGGTTTGCAAAGTAGCCCTCTTGAATATTTAAGTAAAAATAGGTCAAAACGTCTTAAAAATACAAATACCAGCGTTACAATTTAGATGGCAAGGTTACACATGCGTGCCAATAAAATTGTGGAGAGAATGTGTCAGCATGGTGTGGTGATGGAAAACATATAGTTGACAGCATTTAGTTGACACAAAATCAGACACATGCCGAAAACACACGACGTCTTCCGGCCAGTATATGTCAACAAATTACCGAAACAAAATAGCCCCAAAAGTCTGTTTTTGGTTGTATACTGATATTATGACCTGCCACGGTGTCCTGAACTCGGGCTGGAAGAGTATTGACAGAAGCAGTTGAAATGGCCATTGTGTTTTCTGAAACGTCATCTGAATGCGACAAACAGAACCAACTTTCCAACGTGAGTCTACCTCATACATCCATGGTCTGAGCCTCCTTCGTCCTTATTGCACAGCAACTTATATGACTTAAAATATGATTTGCACGTTTCTTTCCCAAATCGGCACCCACGGAGAATAAGCCGGCGGTCTGTGAACGGCTCATCAGCATGGATGCTCGGACTCTGCAGGAGCTCGTAGCCGCCGCTGCCTGTCTGTACTCTGACAGGGCAGCTGTGACATATGACGGCGGGTCAGGGAGCCCCGTGTCCCTGCTGTACAGGGATTTGGTTGAACTGGCCGGAGAACTCTCTCATATTATACGAGAGAACTGCTCTCCTAATAACGGCGCGATTGGCTTGTATTGCTGTGATGATTTGTTAATTCCTGTCTGGATCCTGGGGTGAGTTCTCTCAGTCAAAGTTTACTACTCTATGTCAAAACACAGCATCTGACCTGTGTCAATGAGTAATGTAGGTGAGTAGCTGATTTTTTACAAATGATAAATAAATCTACCTTGTACTGGAGGATAATAAACTGTCTTGTCTGCCAGGATCCTGCAATCATCTGCTGCCTATGTCCCACTGGACCCAGAAGCTCCAGGACTCCTCTCTGCCAGGGTCATGAACCAGTGTGGCCTCAAGTACTGTGCAGTGAAGACAGACATCCTGCAGGTTGACTATTTCATACTTTATGAATATAAATACAACAATAATTGTGAGGACTAATTGCGCAAAATTTGACAATAATCTTCTCTAGTTTAAACCTGCATTAAAATACAACTAAATGACATATTGTTTCTCTTACGATCAGGGTATAAAACCAACAAATCATCAGACAAAATAATGGGCATATTAACCTGTTGGGGCCCCTGTTGACACCCAACCCACATCCATTATGTCCAGAGCGCACAGCAGTCTTATGAACTTTGTCACAGCCCAGATACACAGAGCCTGACCCCTGCTATGCTGGAATATACATGTGTGGTTATTTGAACTTTACTTCAGAATATGCACAATGTGAGCACAACACAAACCCAAATAATAAACATCTTCAAAACAGATTTTTACATAATAAAGCAGTGCCACAATATTAGATAATAATCCTGGAAACACTATAGGTGTTATTACGCTTTAGTCATGCATATTCCCTCACATATATGCAAATGATCAAACTGATATGGGGGTCTTGGACAAAAGATAAAAACCTCTAAAGGGTATGGGTGCAAATCAAAAATCAGTTTGTTCAAAGGAAGTGGAGACAGGAGGAGAATAAACAAGTTAAACTGTTACGCTGTCATATGCAGTTTATTTATCCTTGCATTTGTATTTATGTATCCGCCAAAACAGATACACAGTAGATATAGATACATATACACTACAGTTGACTCTGTTGTATATTAAAATTAATTTGTGATCTGTTGAAGTCTTCCCTCTTTGTCGTTGGTTTGTATGAAGATTTTCATTGATTTATTTCCTCCTCCCATCAAGCGATTGCAGGCAGCTCTTGTCAAACAGACATCCATTGAGGTGTGTGTGGTGCTGCCCAAGTTCAAACTAACCCTGATACGAATCAAGCTGCTGCCGGTTACTGAGCCCAAACAAGGACCAGATCACACCAGAGCTCGGACAGCAGATGGCGCTGGGCTCTGTGAGGCAGCTGCACACAGAGACCTGGCGTATGTGCTCCACACATCTGGTACAACTGGCCTTCCAAAGATAGTGAGGGTTCCACACAAGTGTATTCTGCCTAATATACTGCATCTGAGGTGAGCGTTTATACCTTTAATCGTTATGGATCTCTAAAACTGTGTTATTTGCTGATACATTTTCAGAAGTGCACCTCTCTCGGTTCAGATCTTCGTTTCAGATGAGTGCAGACGATGTGGTTTTCCTTGCCTCGCCCTTAACCTTTGACCCCTCTGTGGTGGATATTTTCCTGGCCTTATCATCTGGGGCTCAGCTCCTCATTATCCCTTCTGTGATCAAGAAAATGCCCAGTCGACTGGCTCGATTGCTGTTCAAGGATCACAAGACGACTGTCCTACAGGCAAGTGTTAAGAAACTGTCGTTTAGTCTGAAGACCTTTTTTTGTCACTATGACGTGGTGTTTTTTTGTTTTCTGCAGGTCACACCGACGCTGCTGGTCCGCTTCGGGCACCGTATCCTAATGCAGGAGGTGCTGTCTTCTGGCTCCTCATTGCGGGTGTTGGCTCTGGGCGGAGAGGCCTGCCCCTCGCCAGCTCTGCTGAGGAGCTGGAGACACCAGAACAACAAAACACACATGTACAATATCTACGGCATCACTGAGGTGTCCTGCTGGGCCTGCTTGTACAAAATACCAGAGTCTCTACTGCAGTCTAGCAACCCGTGAGTGTACTCTGTTAATTAAATCTACATCTTAAACAAGCTGCCGTCAGTACAACTTTATTTAACATGCTTTCAGCACGGTGTCCTTTGTGCCTCTCGGGACTCCTCTTATGGACACGTTGGTGGAAGTGAGAGATGAACACGGCGTCATTGTGACAGAGGGTGAAGGGCAGGTGTTCATTGGTGAGAGAGATCTCATTGACATGCACATACACGCAAATGTTATTTCGGTGATAAACCATATGATCCTTGGTGCAGGTGGAGAGGACAGAGTGTGTCTCCTGGATGATGAGGAGACTGCAGTCCCTGGGACGATGAGAGCTACTGGAGACTGGGTGACTGTTAAAGACACACAGCTGTGCTACCTGGGACGGAAAGACAGGCTGATTAAACGCCACGGAAAACGGGTGAACTTGGACAGCTTGCAGCACGTAAGATGTTTTTAAGTACTTTGCCAAAAATAAAAGGGTATAGATATATAATTCATGGATAGTGTCATATAATCTTTTGTTAAATAAAGTTGAATAAATCCAACATCACAAATACAGATATCAAAGGCAATAAAAAGTGGTACATCATGACCTACTGAAGGTAGTGCTACTTAAATTTTAGGTATCGCAACACTATGAGTGATGCCTTTCATATTAACCATAGTCCTTTGATCCATTGTTAATATACAAAAATTGATAGCTGCAATGTTTTTCTTTCCAAGAAGTAGATAGTTCTTTTAATATCTGGCTAAGAAATAGTTGTTGTGGGTTGAAGTTAAGAGGTTTTAACTGACAGTGAACATAGCAAGATTTACATGGCAAAGTATTAATGTTTCAACTCTTCTCCTCCAGCTCATCTTGAGTCTGCCTCAGGTGGAGGCCTGTGCCGTGGGTCTGTATGAAGGCCTTCGGTTGCTCGCCTACGTTGTGGCGTCCACATCTGGAGACCAGAAATCAGCTTCCCCGCTTGCGTCTGTGGAACAGACACCGTCAGCCTCGGCTGAGCATCGGGAACACCTCCCCTCTTCTGTAAAGCCCCACCGGGGGGCGACGCACGGTGCAGATGAGAATCTGAGCAGACTCATCCTGAACCAGCTGTCTCTGCTGCTGCCCTCTCACAGCGTTCCTGACACGCTGGTGCTGGTGCCAGCCTTGTGTCTGACTCCTCACGGTGAGCATCGGACACACAGTCACCTCTGTGGAGAGATGCATTCATCAAAGGTTTCAGTTATCCTCATGTTTGTTTTATTATAGGCAAAGTAGACATGGAGGCACTTATGAAAATATACCAAAGACAGAGACAGTGCTCTGATTCTTCACGGGGAGACATCACAAAACTAAAGCAAACTCTTATATCCTTGTGGCAGGTATTTGCTTCTTTTGACAACATAACTCCACATTTATAACTTCCTGGTTTAATTTGTTGCCTGAATATGTTTATGCTCAACTACCTATCGACAGGAAACTCTAGGTCTTCCCGAAGATGCGACCATTGACGAAAAATCGAACTTCCTGTTGAGCGGAGGAGATTCCCTGAAGGCACTACACCTCTGTGAGGACATCCTCGCTGGTGTGGGAGTGACCTCACCAGAGCTTTTGGAAGTTATACTTGACGGAACTTTCTCTGACATCCTGTGCCATGTTGCGAGAGTAACACTGATGGTGCCGTCATCGCAGTCTGAGGCCGAGAAACGGAACGCCGATGCTCCCGCCGCAGTGCCAGCGAAGAGAGAACGCAAAGAGGCCACAGCAGCAGAGAGGCTGCAGGGGGAGAAATGGGCTGTTAAAGTTATAAGACGAGCAGGTGAAGTGATAGAAATGAAAATCAGAAATCCAGAGACCAGTACAAACTTCCGGGCTGATGTAAAAGAAAAGGGTTGTAGTAAGAAATGTGCACAAGATGTTCTGGGCCTCAGTCTGAGCTGGTCCTCAGACACAGGCAGATGTGTGGACGCCTCCCCGGTGCTTCTAGTACAAGATAGAACAGATCCGAGTTCCCACGAAGGTGAAACAGCAGTGTTCATCGGCTCCCACTCTCACAGAATCCAGGCTTTAGAACTGATCACTGGGAGCCTTCTGTGGGAGCGAGTTCTCGGGGACAGAATCGAAGCCTCTGCCGCAGTGTCTCGCTGCGGGAGCCTTGTCGTGATAGGTCAGTACCAACTCCCTGAATGCTGCTTTAAAATATTTGACTCTATGTTGTTGGCCTTTAGGATTTATTTCTGGACTGTCCCAGGTTGCTACGACGGCTGTGTGTATTTCTTATGCACTGCCTCTGGAGAGACACGGTGGATATTTCAGACGGGAGACGCTGTGAAGAGCTGCCCTGCTGTGGATCCCCTCACAGGTCTGGTGATAGTGGGCTCACACGACGGGTATGTTTACGGCCTGAACCCAGAGGTGAGTGCGTTTGATATGAGGCGATTCTACGGCTCTAATGATACAGAAAACTCACAGATGTGTGCATCTGTTGTCACATTCAGTACTGCCAAAACAACAACAAGGTCCTGTTTTCAGTCATGGTCAGCCTTTTATTTAGTCATTGATTGATACTACTACTACTACTACTACTGAGCTACACAAATGTCGTCCAGGAATATGAATATGTTTTGCAGTATGTTTTTTTTATGTGTTGCCTGCTGCGACCTGTTTAATCAAGTGAAAGTTACCTAAACTGGTAAACGTGGTAGAGATAAATCAAGAGATATTTATCTGTTTTATGTTTTTAGGTTCAGCAGTGTGTTTGGAGGCGTCAGTGTCGGGGTGGAGCTGTGTTTTCCTCCCCATACCTCCACACCTCACTCAGGCAGCTGTATGTGGCTTCACTGGGAGGTCACCTACTCTGTCTCAACCCTGTGAGTAAAGAAAAAACAAAACCTCAGTAAACAACTTTGCCATTTTTTTCAGAGTAGGACATTTGGACACATTGTGCCCTTTGCTGTGTGATAAGGGTTTTTTTTTTCTGTCCCAGGACAGTGGAGAGGTCCTGTGGTCCTACTGTAGAGACATCCCGTTCTTCTCATCACCCAATGGCTCCTCTGGTCACATGGTGATTGGCTCTGTGGATGGAAACATCTGCTGCTTCAGCAACACAGGGAAACTGGTGAGAGGCAGAACTCTGGGGTTTTTCTCCACTGTGTACCGTGTAACTGTTTTACACTTGCTTTTGCTCAGTTTTCACAACTGCTTCATAAAGCAAAGAACCAAACTAATGCTATCTTTACTTACAAAGCATTAATGTTTTATTCTGAGCTTACTGTGTTTCAGATAATACAACTTACATGTGATGAAAATATATTGGTGTATATTGTTGCAGATCCATAACAGAAACTAGTGCAGACACCGTCATCTATTTACCTTGTAGGAATATAGGATTTACTTTCAAATCAGACTCCTGACCGCACTGTAAATTTGCAATATTATTCAATATTATATATACGATAGAAAATTAAAGTTTCCAAAAGCCGCTCAATTTACAATTTTATTTAATTTTTTATGACAACATGAAACATAAGACATAAGGACGATATAAAATAGATAAATAAATAACATTAAAAAACAAAAAAACCCCAGAAAAAACAACATGCACGAGTAATAGAGTAACATGTTTTTATTTACATTGATTTTAAGATAAATTGGGGAATAGGACAACGGCCCTGATATAGGAAGCAATCAAACCAACAAAAGAAAATAAAAATAACATAGAAACTACAACAAAATAATAATAAAAATAAATATATTATACAAATAAATACATACATACACACACATATAGTACAAAACTAGACAACAGTAAGGAAAGGATGATGCTGAGTGCTTGGGGGGGAGTGAGGAGAAAAAGAGTTGTCTACTCATAATTGTGATGGGAAACGTGACTAGGAGGGAGAGGAATCCCCAAGCAGGATAAAGATGTAAAAGATTCCAGCTGTCTTGATAATATATAAGTTGTCCTTTCCTTGTTGCTGTGAGTTTTCCAGGGATCAATGTTTGGTGAGAAGGTTGAGCCTGAGTGTTGTTGATATTTTTGTTCTATCTTTCCAGCTAAGAAGAATTACCTTTTTTTGCAAGTGCTATGGATGTGAGTAGAAAGGGTTTGTGTGTCAAAGATATTTGGATTGTGGTAAGATCTCCTAGCAATGCAATGTGGAGGGGCTATAAGGGATGGTGAGGCCAAGCATTTAAGACAGTGCCCAGGACCACCAACCAGAAGGACTGAATCAGTGGGCATGACCAAATTGAGTGGATGTTATTGTCTGTGGAATCTGAACAGTGTCTGCATGGGTTGTTGTTTTCGAAGCCCATTTAGAAGAGTTTATGTGTAGTGATATGTGATCTACGTAGAATCTTGTATCATTGAGAATGTGTTGTTGCCAGTCTATTGTGTCCTGTAGTTTGAGATTGGAGGTCCACTGTCTGTTGGGACTGATCATGAGCTAATAGGATCTTATATACTGAACAAAATTATAAACGCAACACTTTTGTTTTTGCTCCCATTCATCATGAGCTGACCTCAAAGATCTAAGACTTTCTCTATGTACACAAAAAGCCTATTTCTCTCAAATATTGTTCACAAATCTGCCACTCGAAAAATGTATGTAAACTAATATGTCATCGGCATAGAGACTAATTTTGTGGTGGCGTGACTGACTTGTGAATACATCTGTGTTGTTACTTTGTCTGATAGATGCAGCAAGTGCTTCTATGAATAATGCAAATAACAGTGGTGATAATGGCCATCGTGTAGTGCCTCTCTGCAAGTGAAATGATTTAGAGATGTGTCCGTTGATTGCAACTGAGGCAGAGGGTGACTTAGATAATATCCTGACAAAGTTAATGAAGTTTAGACAGAAACCAAAGTGAGAGTGAAGAAAAGAAAGCCCAGTATGCTCTAACAAAGGCCTTTTAGGCATCTGAAGGGTTAAAGTTGTTAGTTGAAAGATAAATAACATTAAATTGTTTAGGTATGTCTCCTTTTAATGAAGCCTGTCTGATCTGTGTGTACTATTGATGAAATTGCTGATTCTTGTCTGATAACTTATGCTTTACCTATAATTTTTACATTGGTTTTAATGAGTGATAATGGTCAATAACTGGAGCATTTTGTAGTGTCTTTGGTTTTAAGAGAAGTGTTATGAAAGCAGTGTTCATATATGCTGGGGTATTACTGAGTCAGAGTTGGAGAGAGAAGATTGTTGTGTTGGTGTAACGATGGGAAATAAAATCTTGCTAATGCTTCCTATATGTACACAACACACTTATCTACCTTGTTTTCACCACGTTTCCTGCAACAACTCGCCTCACCAGATCTCAGAGCGAGAATTGTGCTTGAGCGAGACACACTATTGCCCCAAAGGAATATGTAGCAGCCACTGCTGCTGGTTCATGGCGGCTAGCTAAAGCCATCTACTGCACATTTTGCACCTACTAGTCATATAGCAAATTGAATCTCTTGTGAAAACTGAGCCAAAGTTATTTTAAAACACTGTAATACTTTAGTGTGTGACTCTTGTGTTTCTCTGCAGGTTTGGCAGTTTTTAACAAAAGGACCCGTCTTCTCCTCTCCGTGCGTCACACCAGACCATCAGAGGGTTCTGTGCGGGTCACATGACGGTTGCCTGTACTGTTTAAACTGCGCTGACGGCTCTTTAGTTTGGACTTTCCAGACCACAGGGAAGGTGTACTCCAGTCCTTGTGTGTTTGATGGCTCTGTTGTGGGCAAGAGGAGGATTCTGGTGGCCCTGGCCTCCACAGACGGTACAGTGTGGATCCTAGATGGACAAGATGGACAAATGCTGGCCTCATTCACTCTACCTGGGGAGCTGTTTTCTTCCCCAGTGGTGTGGGAAAAGTCTCTCGTAGTTGGGTGCCGCAATGACTTTGTGTATTGTTTAAAGCTGACTGTCAAAGAAGAAACATAGAAGCATAAGACGCATTGCTGCACTTTATATAAACACTGATTGCTTTTTGTCAATGTCAGAGCAGAGAGTGTGCTTTGGGAAATAAACTTTAATTAAAGTTCAGGGAAATAATGAGTCTACGGTCTTTCAGTTCAGACATCAGTATTTAATTTACATTATTCATAACATTTTGTATCTCTTTAAGAATTTTCTCATGAATATCTCTTAAGTGAGACAAAAAAGTGCAAATAATACCAAACATTTTTCTTGTTACATATAACACTGCGTACACTACACTATTGTGCACGACTGACATGAAAAACAAAATGACAAAGTGACTCTTTTTGACCGAAGCTCTGGTAACTTCTATGCAGTACAGTGTATTTCCATACATACTGCTCAGTAAGTGAGTGGCGGGAAATGAGAATGCTGGAGGGGCTTTTTTTTTTCATCGAGGAAATGCTTACATCATTATGTAAGATCATATCACATTGACGAGGAAGTGATGGCGTATGCCCACAAACACAAGTGTGTAACAGGAGGACAGCTACAAAAAAAAAAAGTATGTTACAGCAAGCAGGCGCTGTGTCGGTCTCCATAGCTCTGAGGATAATGTGCAGTAAATTCCCAGTAACACGTGGTCTTCAGTGCTGTGTTTAGGTGCACCCACTGTGTGATTATTCCGGTTACCTTATAATGGCAAAATTGTACAATAGCCTCTTTGACAGCTATCACAGTCATCACACAGTGAGAATTGTTATGCTAAGAGTATGAGTTTAAAAAAAAAGAGAGAAAAGACTTCTTTTGTACATGACTAACAAGGCTCAGAGAGGAGATACAGTATTGTTTCAACATAGATAAATCCTCTGCTTTACATAAATAATACTAACGAGGGCAGAGAAGACACCTGCACCACTTCCATCAGCCGTCCAGAAGCAGATTCAACAGGTTGTTACTGGTAGCCCTTAAAACACGATTCAGACAGTTACCCTCTGTTTATTAAACACTGTCAGTCAGACCTTCACCTCTCTAATACAGAAGTGTTTCTCCTATTATTGTGTTGAGCAAATTATTTATTTACAACCACGTGACACAGTTGGCTACAAAATAAAAAAAGACATTGAGGTTGGCTATTGCAATGGCCAGCCTTGGTTGTGATTGGCTGCTGAGGACTCCCTCGGACTGCGACATGTTTGTTGTTCTGTGTCTTTTTGGGACTTTGTGTGTTCGTATACAGTATGTGCATGCGCGCAACAATTGTTTTATATATATATCTCTGTGACTGTATTGGAATATTTGAATGTGAAGCGCACTTTAACATTATAATAGTACCAGCCAGTGTGTGGGGTTACGAGGTGATGGAGGGTTTTACTTGTTTCACAGTCAGAATGTTTCGTGGTGAGTTTTGGGAGCGAAGGAAAAGGTGGTGGTGATTCTCGAGGTGCTTCAGAGTCCATGGGCAGTGTGCAATCCCAAATGCGGGCCAGAGCCCAGTGTGAAGCGAGGGTGAAGTGTTATTTGATGATCTGAGGACAGTCGCTCCAGGCTTTGGCCTTTCGCTTGGCCAGAGCCAACCAGGCTGGCTCTGTGGACACCTGCGGAGAGTCACTGGAGGGGAAGCGCTTTGACACCTCCTTGACAGAAGGTGGCGACGGTGTAGAGTCTGCAATCTCAACTGAAACAACAAATCAAGAACAAAAGCTTGTTACACACACTAGTTTTTAGATTTTTTTAATATTTATGATCTAAAACATCAGAAAGCAGTGAATAATGCCCTTCACAATTTCCTAAAGCCCAAGGTGATGTCATCATATGTCTTGTTTTGTCTGACCAACAGTCCTGAACCCCAAAATAATAAATTTACTGTAATGTAAAACAAGGAAAAGCAGCGAATCTCACATTTGAGAACCTGGAATTTTTGTGTTTCTGGTCGAAAAATTGCGTATTAATTATCAAAATAGTAATTAAGTTTCCGTCAGCTGACCAAATGTTTATCAAGTATTTGTTGCAGCTCTATTGTAATATGTATTCAAATAAATAGTTTTAGTTAAAGGCAAATTATTGTGTTTCAACATTAAATTATTTAAATAGGGCTGCAACTGAGTATATCCAATATTTATTAATCTAACTATTTACAATTTATTAAATTACAAGAGAGAGAGAGAGAAGGAAAAGCAGCTCATCCTCCCATTTTAGAAGCTGGAACCAGCAATTTGGGGCATTTTTACTTTGAGTTGTTAAATTCACTCAATCGAACAATTATTTCAGTGATATGTGGCTTTATTATTTGTGCACTCAACGTTGAGGTTCTTACCAGTGACAGAGCTGGGTAAAGTGTTAGCTTTTTTCAGGTGTTCTCGGCGCTCAAATCGTCCCAGGAGGCTTTCGGGTCTCTTGGGCTCCTCTGGTGTCTGAGGTTTAGAAGAAGGACTGGTGCTCCCGCTGCCTTTGCACTCTGTGGGACTCACCAGTGTAACCTGCAGCAGAGATTTGTGATTGTAAGTGAGGAGGAATACTGCCTGATGAGGTGAATGTCAGAAGAAATAGTAGAAAGAGTGTAAAGAGGCAATCTGGGGCACATACGCTGTCTCTATCTCTAGCTTGTTTTTCTGCCAGTTTGGCCTCTCTCTGGCTCCGTCGATCCTCTCGATTCTGCTGCTGCTCCCTGAAGCCCTTTTGCTTCTGCAAAGCCAGTGTGATCCATAAGGGCCCAGCCTCCTTCTCTTGGACCCTCGCACTGTCCAGGGAGTGCCTGCTCTGTAGTGATGGTTTTTCTGTAGCAGAAGATATCCATAGTGGCATATTACTAGGCCAATATATTCTTCTAAATGTTTGGGTGCTAGTTCCAATAGAATAGATGAAAGTTTCAAAAAGTCTTTCTACAAAACCCTAACAAAAGCCAAAATTACATGTTTGTAGACGCAAGCCGTTGTAAAAGAACTTTACCTTTTTAAGTAAAAAAAGGGTATGACAATTTGATTTAAATAGGGAGTTATCAGATCAGCCAGTTTCGGAACTCTGTGCAGATACGGACACATTTTGGTTGGTACCAAAAAAGTATTGTGGTTTGATACCCAATTCACTCATTGCACTCAAGGCCACATTAAAATAATTTTTAACATTTTGGGAAATATGCTTATTTGCTTTCTTGCCAAAAGTTATATGAGAACCTCTCTCAAGTCATCTCTCTCTAAGAAAAGGAACAAGCAGATTGCCCAAAATGACAAACTAATCCTTTAAGCCATGTAGAGGCACCATATGTTGGAGGAAAGTCAAGATTTTAAAATCCTGATTAGCATTAACAGCATAGTGCTTGATCAAAGTAACACTGACCTCTCCTGATGAGCTCCGTCTTTCTATCTGCCTTCTCTCTCCAGGGGATGTTAATGGAAGGGAAGAAGGATCTCCTCTCCTTCGGCTCCTCTTCCCCTTGGACCAGGCCTTGGCTACTCTGGTGCAACTGGGCCACCGCAGAAGGTTCCTCGTTCCTGCTCTGCAGCTCCTTGCTGGATGACTCTGCGGCCCCTGTCCTCTGGATCATGGCATCACTAGGAGGCCCATGGGCCACTTTAGGTAGAGGAGATGGGGGAGGTGTGGAGACTGCTCCAGTGGGTTTGGGCGACGTTGTTGGTCTGCGGTAGAGCGGTGGCTTGGAAAACACTTTCTCACCATCGCTGTGTGCGGCGGGGCTGGTAGACTTACCCGGTTTAGACCTAGGGACAGCAGGGGAGGCAGATGCATGTAAGTACTTGCCGACCGCGCCTTCTTTCTGAGGCGATGTGGGACTTGATTTGTCGGAAAAGACCGGGGAGGCGTCAGAGTCTGGCTCAATGGGGGTTAGAGGTGAAGGGACTCCATCAAAGCTGTCCCCAGCACTGTATCGTTTCTTCCTTTTCTCAGTGGACTCTCCGCTGTGGAAGCGGAGGGAGTAGTTGGTCCTCCTCAGCTTTATGCCAAAAGGTGAGGGCTTGTCCTCACTGTCCTGACTTCGGCCTTCTCCCTCCTCTCTACTTTCAGACACCTCCGTCTCACTCTGAGCCCTGCTCTTCAACTCTGGCCCCTCGGGTTTCGCTCCAGGGCTGGGAACCAGGAAAGAGGGGAGGTCTTTGGCAAACATACATTCCTCTGACCCTCTTTCTACAATGCGGACCGTTTTACTCGTCCTGCTCTGAGGTTTACTGGTTGGAGCTGGGGAGACTGCAGTGGGGCTATCATACCGAGTAGCTTCCTCTCCTGCTTCATCTACACCGAACACCTCAGAGTTCCTGTTTGAATCTCCAAACTTCTTCTTCGCAGGGGTGATGGAGAACTTGGCGCTGGCAGACATGGTCTTCCTGAGGTTCGTGTGGGAGAATGCAGGCTGGTCTTCACTGCTGGGTTGAGGCTGGTTCCTGCTTGGCTCTGGGTAGTCCTCGTATTTCCCCTCCTCTACCCCCTTGAATATCTTTGATCTGATGCTAGCCCATTCTGCCAGGATGGCTGCACCGGGCTGGTCTACAGAGGACTCGTTAAGTGATTTCGTCTTGCCAGACTTGCGGTCTGGTGAAGTCTTGCTCTTGGTCGGCGGTGTTCCCTGGGCCTTTTTATCCTCTCCCAAACCCAGCAGAGACTTACAGGCGGTGTCTTTGATCTGGTCTAAATTGACGGCTGTCCCACAGAGCTGGGCGCCTGTCACTAAGATGGCTGTGTGGGGGACATATGGAGACGTTGGCAGGTTTGGGGAGTCTGGTCCTTCAGAAGAGGCCTTGGGGCTCTCTCTTTGTTCGGCTACAGCACCGCTCTGGTGGCTGGAGGCTGGCGTAACAGGCGTCAGGTGGACCTTCTGGAACAAAATCTGTTTTTCACCGGAGGAAACTTTGAAAGAGAAAGGCCTCTGTCTCTCCTCCATCTCCCTCCAGCGCAGCTCCTCAGCCCTCCTCTTCCTCTCCTGTGGATCTGAGAAGCCATCAGCCTCCTCTAATGACAGCCTCCTCTGCTCCTCCTCCTCCTTTCTCATCCTCTCCTCCTCCGCTTCCAATTTTTTCTTTTCTTCAATCTCCTGCAACCTCAGCTTTTCCTCTTCCTCCCTTCTCTTTCTTTCCTCTTCTTCCTCTCTTAGTTTCCTCTTCTTCTCGGCCTCAAGCTCCTGCTGCCTCCTCGCTTCTTCCTGCTCCTCTTCTCGCCTCTTCCTTTCTTCCTCTTCTTTCCTCCTCTGCTCTTCCAGCTGTCTTCTCTCCTCCCGCTGTTGGCGCTCCTGCTCCTCTTGCAACCTCCTTTCCTCCTCCTCCCTCCGCATCCGCTCTTCCTCCTCTCGCCACCTCTTTTCTTCTTCCTCTCTGATCCTTCTCTCCTCTTCCTCCCTCCTCCTTCTCTCTTCCTCCTCTCTAAGCCATCGCTCTTCCTCCTCCTGCTGTTTGCGACACCTCTCCTCCTCTAGTTCACGCAGCCTCAGCTCCTCTGCTGCTCTCTTCCTCTTCTCCTCTTCCTCCTGTTTGACCCTTTGTTCCTCCAGCTCCCTCTTCCTCCTTGTCTCCTGTCTTTCCTCTTCATACAGTCTCTGTTTCTTGAAGCTTTCCAGGGAATCAACAGATGCCCTGCGCTGGTCATCCGTGGAGACACCTGCTACCTCGAGGTCCTCTTGCACCGCACCAGGAATAGATACCTCTAGGAGGTCCTGAGAATGTAGAAATTTGATTAGTTCCTATTTTCTTCACCACAACAAAGTTTGAGAAATGTCTCAAAAATAAATCAACAACATGCTAAGACCCATTTGAGGCAACTCATAGCTTGACTTTAGCTCTGGCTCACCTGTGTAAATCGCCGGTGCTTGCGGGAAACCCTCTGGTTTTTCGGTTTGACGGACAGTTTATGCTTGGCAGCGGTGTTGTCTAAGCGAGGAACAGACTGTGGAACAGCATCCAGATTGATGGACTCAATAGTACCAGTGGGTGGAAGAACTCGTCTGGACCTTGGGGACTTCACTGGGGTGCTGTGTTGGGTTTCTGCTTGTTGGGCCCCCTGGACCTGTTTAGTCACAATAACAGAACATTTTTTGATAAACTGAAACACATCTGATCTTAGTCCTAATACCTTAAAAACCTTCTTATTCCTCATCAAAAACAGGGCGCCATTACATTACCCTTAGTCTTGAGAGCCCAGTGTTTTATGTTAGTAGCGGCTAATAGCCTATAATAGTAGCCTCAAGCAGAGATGAGGAGCAGGCTACAGACGTCTGGTAGGCTCACCTTGTAACTCCACAACCCCAGATTTTTCAAACAGACCCGACCCAACACAGGCACAGACTTTGCCTAGCTCTTCTTTAAAAATAGAACTGTCATCAGAATAAGTTAATAAGTGGTTACCTTTGGCTCTGTGTTTGCTGGTTCAGCTTCTACCTGGGCCAAAACCTTCAGAGGACTCCGGGGAACCTCTTCCTCATCTGAGCTTCCCTCATCTCCTTCACTTTTCCTCAGAGAAGGAGGCCTCTGGCCAAACTTTATACCTTGTGCTATCTGCCTCTGTTTGATAAAATAAAAAGGAAAAAGGTTACACGTTATGTATGTAGACAGAAGATAACTGCTCAGCAACTGAGTGTGCATAGCTACAAGGCCCACCTGCAGATTCCTAACTTTATCCGAGACGTTTTCCTGGGACATGCTGTGATCTAGACCGGGCTCAGTCACCGGCTCCTCTGGGATAAAGATGCTGTCGTGTGAGAGAGCTCGAGATCCGATGGGATTCAACTCCCTGCAGGAAAATAAGAGTGTCTTCAGAGTTGCAGCGTGTCATTACTGTCAGTCATTCATTCATTTATCATGAGCAGGATCCAGCGTCGCTCCATAAATCATTTTACACAAAGAAACAAATGACCTCTTAACACACCAGTAGTTTCAGCACATCAATTAAAGGCTTAAATCGTGTTGAGCCTTTCATAAGCTGTTTTTGTGCAGAACCTCACCCTTCTCGCTAGAGATTGCGTAACCACAACTTGCAGTGTTTGTGAGAGTCATTTTTCTGGAAGTGAAAACAAATCTGGCAAGACATTTGCAAACCTCTGATATAGGGTCTATAAAGTGGGTAGTGGGCCTCCAACTTATTCATGGGAGCTCAGCGAAAAAAATTGACACTAGTTATTACATTAATTATCAAAATGGGATATAGAATACCCTAAATGCGTGTGATTTGATAAAGAGATAGTTCAGAGATACAGCAGTTTGGGGGAAATTTACAGTTTTCCCCACATTCCCAGAGATTAATAAATGCCACAGGACAGACCTTTGTTATGCATTTGGTGTAGTCTGTGCTGTTAAACAGTAATATTAGGCTGTCTTGGTTTAATTCTGTCTGTCTATGTGATCATATAACATAATCACGACTTTAGCAAAATTAACCAAGTAAACTAAGAGGGGGGCACCATTTTCCAAGCTTTGTCTGAGGGGAGGCCCACAGTCTGTCTTTGCAAACCCCTAAATTATTGGTTAGATCTTGGTTATAGCTTTTATCAGCAGTAACATAATGCTAAGCAGAAAAACTCATTATCTCATACAAATGTGAGTAAAAAGGAAACTTTATTACCTCAGATTTTGATTGGACTCCTCATTGTCAGATACAACTCCATTGCACACTTCCCCAGTAGAAAAACTCGCCTTTAGCTCTGCTCCATCAAAGCCCCGCTTCGCCTCCCTCTTCTTCTTCTTCCCAAAGAGTCGTCTAAAGGGCTGGAATTTGCCCTGTCGCCTTCTCTCTGTTGTCAAATGAAAACAAATGACAACCACAGCTATATGCAATCATCAATCTTTATATCTCGCCCTCGGGCTAGATAACGAGCAGGACGGTGCCTATGGGCGGGTTTTTGTATGCATGTATGTATGTGTAGATAGTGAAATGCAATTGACTGAATAAAAAGAAAAAAAATCAAAATAGCACATGGAATGAGAAGAAAACCTTGGCTCTTTGGTTCATACTTAACTTGTATTTACAGGAAGTGGAGAAGATAAACAACACGCATAAAACGGGAGCAACCACTTCCCCATGGCAGCTTTAGAAAAATTTACAAATCCCTGATTTATTGTTTAAAACAGGCAAACGCAAATCCATGATTGGTCCCTGAGAGAAAGGAAAGGAGTGAAAACACACAACGACATCCTGGCTATCCTCAAGAGTTAATGTCAAATGAATGACTCATAACACCCTTGACCTGCATCACTCTCCAAGATGTGTGTGCTATCTTATCTTAATGAGACAAATCACAGATAATCACTTTGGATTACCTAATCCATTGGCCAGTGAGGCAATCCCTTAAACCACATTAAAATCAGTATGGAACAATAAAAGGAGCAATGTGCTGCCAAAAAATAAAAATGTGTCGGCAACTGACCTACGTAATAAAACACAGCAGTTAGTACTGGTAAGATCAGTGCTGGTTCATGACTTCCTCAAGTGATGAAACTAACTTTGGATCTTTATGCTCATCATCTTTCATGTCAGGAAGTTACAGACTCTTGTGCACAAGATAAACTTTCCCATGTGTAAAGGGAAAAACATCGCTAGGTTCTCTCCTCAGGATCCCAAAGATGAGATGTTGACATTATGTCATTGGAAAATGTAAACAGATATTGTTTAGCATAATTTAAAAAGTGTTTCCGATGGTGTGTTTAGTCTTTGTCTGTGTATCCGTGTGTGTGTGTGTACTTGTAGAGGTTCACTGGATTAACTAAGTGGGTGAGATTACAGAGCTACTCTACACCACTGTGTAGACAGGCGTTCCCAGGGCTCTGAGGGTATCTCTTTCAGAGCTATAAGTAGCAACTGGTGTGGGATTACACTTCACATGCTGCACACTATACCAGAGGCATCATGGGAAATAGTAAAAACTAGTTTCCCCACTTAGATCCTCCACTCAGAAGTGTGTCTTTATTTTTGTGTGGGACAGTTTAAGTGTATGTACAGTATCTTACAAGTCAGTACACCCCTCACATTTTTTTTACATTTTTATTATAATAATAATAATAATAATAATAATAATAATAACTTTTCATTTGACAATACTGAATAAATTAAACTTTGCTACAATGTAAAGTAATGAGTGTACAGCTTGTATAACTCAAAATAACATATCACACAGCCATTAATGTCTAAACCACTGGCAATAAAAGTGAGTACACCCCTAAGTGAAAATGTCCAAATTGGGCCCAAAGTGTCTATATTGTGTGTAGCCAGCATTATTTTCCAGCACTTTATTTTCCTTAACCCTCTTGGGCATGGAGCTCACCAGAGCTTCACAGGTTGCCACTGGAGTCCTCTTCATATCACGGAGCCGGTGGATGTTAGAGACCTTGCGTTCCTCCACCTTCCGTTTGAGGATGCCCCACAGATGCTGGTTTAGGTCTGGAGACATGCTTGGCCAGTCCATCACCTTTACCCTCAGCTTCTTTAGCGAGGCAGTGGTCGTCTTGGAGGTGTGTTTGGGGTCGTTATCATGTTGGAATACTGCCCTGTGGCCCAGTCTCTGAAGGGAGGATCATGCTCTGCTTCAGTATGACACAGTACATGTTGACATTCATGGTTCCCTCAATGAACTGTAGCTCCTCAGTGCCGGCAGCACTCATGCAGCCCCAGAACATGACACTCCCACCACCATGCTTGTAGGCAAGACACGCTTGTCTTTGGACTCCTCACCTGGTTGCCACCACAGACACTTTGTTCACTTTGTTTATCTTGGTCTCTTCAGACCACAGGACATGGTTCCAGTAATCCATGTCCTTAGTCTGCTTGTCTTCAGCACACTGCGGGCTTTCTTGTGCATCATCTTTAGAAGCAGCTTCCTTCTGGCAGTGTGAAGTGTATAGTTTGAGCACTGACAGGCTGACCCCCCACCCCTTCAACCTCTGCAGCAATGCTGGCAGCACTCATACATCTATATCCCAAAGACAACCTCTGGATATGACGCTGAGCACGCACACTCAACTTCTTTGGTCGACCAGGGCCAGGCCTGTTCTGAGAGGAACCTGTCCTGTTGAACCGCTGTATGGTCTTGGCCACCGTGCTGCAGCTCAGGTTTGGCAATCTTCTAGGCCATCTTTATGTAGAGCAACAATTCTTTCTTTTAGATCCTCAGACAGTTCTTTGCCATGAGGTGCCGTGTTGAACATCCAGTGACCAGTATGAGGGATTGTGAGAGCGATAACACCAAATTAAACACACCTGCTCTCCATTCACACCTGAGACCTTGTAACGACGAGTCACGTGACACCAGGGAGGGAAAATGGCTAATTGGGTCCAATTTGGACATTTTCACCTAGTGGCGTACTTAATTTTGTTGACAGCAAATTTACACTGTTATACAAGCTGTACACTCACTCCTTTACCAAAGTATTAATCAAATCTGTGGTATGTGGATTTTGTTAGCTTTGGAGAGAGCCAGGCTTGCTGTTTCCCCGTGTCTAGTCTTTGTGTTTAGCTAAACTAATAAGCTGCTGGTTGTAGCTTCACATTGGACTGAACAGATTTGAGAGTGGTTATTAATCTTCACATCTAGCTCTTGACATGGAAGCGAATAAGTGTATTTTCCAAAATGTGAGAATAGTAGATTGATTTTCTGTCGATTGACTAATCATCTCTACTCCAAGTTCTATCTCCCTTGATTTAATATGTAATTACCTGGGGGTAATAGTGACATATACTACAGAGCGATTATGAGACGACACTTATGCATTTAATCATTGCTTTGTTTGTATTTCTTCCTTTTTTTCCCTCTTGTGTTCTTGTCCCCTTTTCCTTCTTTTTCTTGAATGTCAACTGATCAGGACAGAGATCTTGGTGGGACTGCTCTAAATGTTTTGGGTGGGAAGGACCTGAGACTGAGAAAAATGGGAAAGAAGCGGGGGTGGGGGTGGGGGTGGGGGGGGGGGGGGTCTTCTTAATGTAATATCTATTTATGTAGTTAACTCTATCTCAATAAAAATAAAGTATCAAGGACAGTAGGGTCCTACTGATGAAATTGATTGCTTAATACTCTGTCAGACCCACTCTCTCCTTCTTTGTCTAAGTGCAGCGAGTGATATTATGGTGGTGACACTGATGCTCTGCTTCCCTGCAGCATGCTCTTCCAGCATCAGGGCCAGTCCAGTGTTTCTACTCTGGTTCAAAGCCCATAATGCAGTGCCACAGGCATGCTCACACACTCACGCGTGAAACGAGAATGGACACGTTTTTCTGCACTGTAGACGACTCAGTAGCACTCCATAGAGCAGCATCCAATCTAACTGGAGTTAACTCTTGCTTCCTGTGTCCTTATGATGTGGTGTGTTTTGACCCTGGTCCTCTGAACCTGGACCCCTGCTGGTTTTTCAATCCAGCCATCTGATCAGGGAATATTTCCCATCTGGTGAAGGCAAATTTACTAGTGGGCAGAAGGATAAAAAGCAGCAGAAGGCTATTCCATCTTCTGCAGCCTTATATTTGCAGATATGGGAGCTGTATCAATCTTTGCATCTAACTCCTAGCAAGAAAGAAAATAAGCTTGATCTATTGTACTCTGTCTAATATTTGCTACATGGATTCATGATCTGATTATGTATTAAAACTGCTGGAAGGGATCAAACAAAAGCTAGTGAAAAGGTGATCAAAGAAGTCAGATATGTGGACACAGCACAGCCTCTGTAAAGGCTCAAGTCAAACCATCACCACGCCACACTCTTCTTAAAGAGACAGTGAAAAAAAACCCATTAAACTGCTGCCAACAGAGGTCATTTCATCCTCGGGGTGTGATAACTGAATGGGCTTTAAAACACTGTCTCTTTAAGATGTCGCTAAAAGCACTCATTTTTTTCCTATTTACCTGGGCCTTTGGATTCGGTTACCTCTAAAAGCATGTCATGCTTAGTTTCCGTGGCGTCCGTTGCCATGATCACTGCACACCTTGGCTGTGTTGAGAGAGGAGGGAAGTAAGATGGGGATGCTGTTATCATCTTTACTGCCGGAGAGGGGTAAAAGGAGCAAGTGTGAGCTTTTAAATTGAGGAGACACATGAGAGATCAGGAAAGGGGCACTGAACACTTATAGCGCTTGAGCAGAGCTGCAGTTGGACTCTCACTTTTTATTTTGCTCTCCATCGCCTCTAGCGTTATCATCAAAAAGCTCCGCTTTGTTAGCTCTGGCAGAATGGCTCTTGGTGTTTTGCCTGTCTGGGGCTGTTTTAAAAACAAAATAAGCCCTCTGAGGCCTCTCTCTTGGGATTTGTTGGCATAGACATGGTACTAAAACGGTGGTACATCTGAAATGAAAACACACCGCTAAGTGGTTGGGGGCTAAATAGATAGTGCAAAACTACAAATAAAAAAGACTCTTACAGCAGCTGAACTGAACATGCTCACTTTCAGCAGGATGATCCTTTGCTACGTCTGATTATTAGAGATCCAGAGCAGAAATTATCACACAAACCACAAGAACCACCTCTTATTTGCATCTCATAAACTGACAGGACCTAACTACACACTGAACTCTGAGCCCGGCGTCCTCCAACATCTGTCTGCAGCACGTCGGCTGAGCCAGAGGTTTTCTGATGTGCTGCGGAAATGTGTGTTGTGCAAAACCACAAGCACCCTGGTTGGCTGTATAACACCAGAGTGTGAGACAGTACTGAGAGAGCCAGAGTGTGGCATCAGCATACCGTGGGCTTCCTTCCTGAGGGTGACAGAGACGGACAGACTCTCTCAGAAATGCCCCAGAAAGGCTCTTTGTCCAGCGCAGAACAAGGAGCGAACAAGCATGTTCGGTAGTGTGAGTGTGTGAGCACAGATACAGACAGAGACAGAGAGGGAGAGACAGAGAGAGTGTGTGTGTGTGTATGTGTGGTGAGGAGAGAGACTGTACGTGATTGTGTCTGCTGGTGTAAAGAGAGATATTGTGGATTTTTGTTTGTCTGTTTATTTACATGTGTTGACTGGGCTTGGCTGGAAGCCCTAATGTTGAGCAAGTGTCTGTGTGCTAAGTGTTTGTTTGTTGTTGTTTTTTTGTCCCATCACTGCAGAGGACAAACTTGGGAAGCAGCTAGAGATGGGATGAGAGAAGCACGAGGAGCAGCCATGTGCTCTACAGAAGCAGAGAAATGATACACTGCATCATAGTATGGCGTAGGCATAACACGATGCTGCATCTTAGGGATCTCGAACGACCCAAAAGCTCAACACCATTTGATGGTGACACCAGCTCTGCACCAGAGTGGGCTAGACAACTACCCAAGTCCAATAGCATGGCTTAGAGTTGTAGCGGCTAAGTGCCATAACCTTACAGCACAAGTAGCTTGCTGACAAAGCAGACAGACGAACGTGGTGGAGCCGTGTAGCGGTTTACCTATTTCAGCTGCACAGCTCGAGATGGCTGCGCACCACTGCAGTAAAACCTTAGGGAACATCGATCTTCCCTTTTGCACAAAGCTCGTTTTACCCAGATGAACGTCACTGCTGCCTCCGCTGTAGCTTTGGGAGAAAACGGTGGAATAAATACAGAACAGAGACAAAACAGCAGGAATCGGTATGTTAGGTCTGTTAGCATCAGGTGCAGTAGGTGAGTGGGTGGGGAAATATGAGCATTGCATGAAGGGTGACATGGGACGGGGGTGGATGATCGATAAGGATATATGGAGGTGACGATGACAAATCCGATAAATCTATACTGCAAGAAGTACGCTTTCACTATCACTGTTATCACCTTAGGGTCTGGACTTTCACAGCATCTCATCAATGCCAACTCTTTGTACCAATCTCATTCTCTAAACTTTGAGCAGTCTCTGGTTTCCACAGCAACGTGTTAGCAGCAGCACCCAGGGCCCGATGAGACAGACGCAAAACAGAATCAACTCACACCACAAATCCTTATCAATGCAAACAGACGGAAATAGTTCACTTGCCACAAACACTGCATGTGTTACTCCTGATGTGGCTGTTTCGACAGACTGCCAGGTCATGTGCACAAGGACAATAAGGGAGTGTCCTAGTGTAATTGTTATTTAGCACAAGGGTTGAGTAATTAGAAATGAGGAAAATAAATATCAGAGGTGTGTGGTGATTAATCATTATCTTGCAATTGCAAATGCAATTCTACTTCCTCTGACAATTTGGCAAGAAGGCCTTGATGCCGGCAGCTGCTGCCCCTGTTGAGCCATCATTTTTGGATGAGAATATAAAAACAGCATCTTCTGGAAAGGTTGGTCCTGATGATGTTTACCGGTGTTAAAAGGAGAAAACATTTCTTTATATATGGACACTGTGAATTGTGTGCATCTCCAGGAAGTCTCCATCACAACGGAAGATTTAAAATGCCTAAATAAAAACAAATCAAACAGAGAACTATGTGTTGAACAACACTGATATGCAGTACACCTCTGCACTAGGGCTGTCCCCGACTAAGGATTTACAGAGTTTCGAATCAGAATTGTCAATGATTGCCTGATGACAGATTGTCAAATCTATGTTTGGGGGGGGGGGGGGGGGGGGGGGGTGACACGTGGCAGCTTTGCTTGAGAAGCTGCAGAGCTTTAGTCTCTATTCATTAGTGACTGTATCTTACACTGTACATATACAGCTAAACTGAGGCTTACTGTTGATCCTTTTCTCTCTGCTCGCCTGCCATTCACTGGTCTTGCGCAGAGTTTTGATGTCCGCCGACTTGCTGACAGTTGCATGCAGTTCGCAGTTCCACGCGGTTCTATTCCAAGTACCAATATTCTTTTTGGGGTTTATTAATGGTGATAAATGATCAAAAAATTCACGCACAACTATGTAGATCACAGCTGCAACTGGTGCACCCTACCTTTAGGGTTAGGGTTACAATTTTGGATTTAATCATGCAAAGAATTTTTGAAAAATTATTAGCTTCTTATCTTCACATGTTTATTTACAGTGTTATATGTTGACATATCATAATAGTCTATATAATTACTTATTGGGAGACAACCGGTGGTACCATGTAAAATCAGACGTTAAACACCCCCCTTTTGGCCTAAATGGTATGATCCTTGTTTCCCAAGATTCTGCAAAGATTCGTGAGATTGGGATTCGAATCAATCTCTGTCTATCAAATCACTGACAATTCGGGGACACCCCTACTCTACACTTTCCCTCTTGTGTTGTGATTTCTAATGCAGCATGGAGAATTAATTTCACAGTAAAAAAAAAAGTTAAGTTATTAAAGACAAAAAGACAAATAATTATCCGTTAACATGTGGTTTTCATTTAATTATAACATAGTAAACACATAAAACAAAGGATATACATATACAGTAAGATGTATTGCATTTCACTTTATTTCTGATGGATTAGTTTTTCATTTTTGCATTTAAATCTTCCATATATCAGTTTGATGAGGGCAGAAACATGTATGCTTGTGTGGTAATTTTGCAGCAGCCTGGTGTTCTTGCTATAGTCGCAATAAACCTGTAGTTTGGATACTGACCTAAATGTATTAACTGGTTGCAAAGTATCCAACCGGTGTTCATTCACATTATTTAGCATTATAATATAATGCATTTCACTTGCAGATGGAATCACTAAATATCAACTGAGTGATGTTAAGCTGACAAACAACTTGGTCATTAGATATGTACTTTAAGCCATTTGTCACCATATATCTGCACTTTCTAACCGAATTTTCATGCAACTTCCAACTCCTCCCACATTTGTGCCACACAGACTGAATAGGACACAAATGGGCAAAGCACTATTCTGTGGTGACACTGTTCGTGCTAACGTTCACGCTGCCATGAAAATAGTACGTGTTTGTGAACAAGTTCAGTTTTGCATGACAGACCCAAACCCAAGTAAATAGCATATTAACAAGATTAAAGCTGTCAGCATGCTTCTTTAGAGCTTAAATAGCCCTCCCCTACACCTTTCTGATGTCGGAATAGAGAGGGATATGTCCGACCATTTCTGTAACTTTCCAAAAGTGACGAACCGACATTCACACCCACTTTGAGTCGTGAATGGCCTGCTGTGCCAAGGTGAGAGAGCTAAATGCTAATGCCAGCAAGCTAACATTTTTACAATGACCTGCTGGTGGTGCTACAAAAAAAGACAGGGGATCACCAAAGTCCCTAGGATTCACCACCTGGGGACCATGATTGTCTGTACAAAATGTGACGGCAATCCATCCAATAGCTGTTGAGATATTTAAGTGTGGACCAAAGTAGTGGGCCAACCCACCGATAGACAAATATATCCCCAGGGTCACATGCTAGCATGGCTAAAAATCTAGTTACAGGTACTATACCAACACTAGTAGTAGCTATCAGTGGACAAAATACAAGCCAGGCCTGCAACAAACACTCGCTTTATGATTTATATAATGTTCAGTTTTTGTTAAGACATTGTGCTGTAAGGTGTCCTTGGCATTTGTCTACTCCCTAGATATCCACAGGGTGCATGTGGAAAAACAATGGATTTTAGAGTGACACGCACCACGTATCACATGACCATGGTTATGTTTTCCACATTAGCCATCGGTTAACTGACAATTCTCAAGAGTGTGAACACAAAACAACAGAAAGGCCTTCTCCTCCTGCCTCAGCATCTCAAGCACAAACACTGTGACTTGTGATATTCACAGTTGACATACACCAAAAAATTCAGTACAGTACTATACACTTCACTCTCTTCGCTGTCCAACATGAGCTGTTCACAATGGTTTTGCACACAGAGAGCCAAAAAACACACAGAAAGAATAAATGGCGTGTTAAAGTTCTACAAACTTTAGCTAACATTTCATCACCTGCTTTTAACTTTCTGCATAAGAACGCCTTCTTACCGTCCTGCAGTCGCTCTGTGTGCCAGGGTATCTATGAGTGTGTGGCCGTTCCACCTGCCTGCTGTCACTTTGGATCTAGGGCATTACCTGGAGTCAGGTGTCAGATGCAGTGAGGGCTTTGTGTGCGCGCGCTTGTGTGGGTGTACAAGAGAGCAACGGAGTAAACATCCCTCAATATCCCCATATTGATGGAAATGTGATTGCTGTTCTAAGGCGCAGTCTCGCACTCTGGAATGAAAACTTGCGTTGGCGTGAGATCACGAGTGCAGATGCGTGTTGGAGTGGAGCTCATGCACGGTCTGAGGGGAGGAGGTGTCTCAGCAGGAATCGGGGTAGTGTGAGCTCCGAGCGAGGAGAGATGGGCGTTCTCCTGTGTCTGTTAGTGCTGCTGTGCTGAGGAGGCACAAAGTGACACTTTGTTTCCGCGCCAGATAGCCAGCGCAGGAGAACAGAGCGGCATTCACCATTTCAACTGGCTGATGCACACAAAGGCTTTCATTGTGGGTTAACAGTAACCGCGTATACACATGCGTGATTAGAATGGTTTGTACGGTGCACCACACCTGCTTAATAATGTTACAGTCACACATGGAGCCTTCAGAGCTAACCTCAACACACACACACAGGTGAAGTGCTGAAGCTACTCAGAGGTTACAGCAAATATCATTTTAAGCTTTGTCCGCGTAACTTCAGTCCCCTTAATACCAAATTACTCTATAAGATCCTCATTTATGATCACATTAGTCTCATGTGTAATCATAATGGCTATGTGCAGCAGCATAGTGTTAGCGTGTAATAAGGCCAGCTCCCCCCAATCTCCAGTTTTGGCAGCATCACTGCAGTCTCACAGGGATATGGTAATAATGAGGTCTTTACCAACCTGGATGCCGCCTATGTTACAGCAGCACAGCGCTTCAAAGACAGACTGTTCCCTGACTGACTCTGTGCCCCGCCCCCATTCCCACACACAGATATTCACATCCACATGTATTCACACACACACCTCGATCTGTTGACTAAATTGCATGTTAATGCATGTATTGATGTTTCAACGGCTAATAGATGATTTGGATAGCCAAGGGGGGACAATTTCATAGTCAAATGTGAATTGTGTTCCATTTAAAGTCACAGAAAGTAGACAAACCTGTCTTGTCTTTGTGGTAATCTATGCATCATCACTCTGATGCCGTCTTGGTCTACAGCCTGCCGCTTTTCCTTGTTGCTTTGTTTGAATATTTCCCCCGGTAATTTCTGCTTCAAACATGTCATTACAACAAACCTTAATATCAGCTGCAATTTTGATTGTTTTTATGCCGCATAGTATATTATTAAGAGCAGAGATGTGTTACATAAACATGTAAATCCTTCTCTAAGGACCACATTTTGGAAGAGCAGATGATAACTTGCACCACACTCAATAATTAGCACAGACCTCATGAGAAATTGAGGTGTAGGCTGTAATTGCAGTTCTGTGCTTTAGTTAAGGGCAGCTCTGATACTAATACCAATATCTGTATAATAGCATAAACAATACTGTACGTACTATGTATGGGTGATACCTAAGAAATACAATTTTTATAAGAAGACTGTTACATATTACATCTGACTTTACTACGGCATTGACTTTACTACCTTTTTTTAACAGTTGCTAGCTCCTTTGCAAAAATACGGCTTTACATGCAAAACATGCAGCAAAGTCATGACATGTGATGCACTACAAACCACACTTGTGCACCTAGCAAGAAAACTCTTTGATTAGGTCAATGCATCACAGAATGAGCACTAATGAACCCTCAAAAGATGTTCATTAGTCATTTCATTTGGGTGGTGATGACATGATAACTTAGTCGAATCCTTGTTCACTGTGCAGTTCAGCAGCACCTGAAAATCCAAACCTTCAGGTTGGATGGGACGCTGAACATTGCAGTACTTTATTAAAACACTACTCTTGAATCAGTGAGAGTGACGTAGTCTTTACTATGAGAGCTCTACCCTGTTGCCTCTGCAAAAACACAGACACACAGCTCTCTGTCCTAATATGCCATCATTCAACCATCGGTTCGAACCGATTGCAACTAAGACAACCAACACTCGCCTGTCCATCTGGTGCTGGAACAGCCAACAAAAAAGACAGAGCAGTTTATTCAAACCAGCACCATAAATCCAACACCAGCAGATTGGAAATTAATTTCTGGCGAACTGCCATCTATTCTCCCTGCTTTTATGTTTCAGCACACTGACGGTGACAGTAATGCAGCATTGATTTAAAAGCATTTACACGTGACATGTGGAAAAATAAATCCATAATTTCATATTTTCTTCGCACATGTAGGCCCGCACCATATGGCCTGTGCACGATTTTCCAGCTGACTCAAGCACCCTGACATTTCAATGGCTATCCTGTGTGTCTCGTTTGGTGAGAGAAACGGATCGCTGTGGTGAGAGCCTACATCAACATGGACTAAAAGGCACGGATCAATACACAACCGTTAATGGTAGATTAGCAGATGCTGCCGCACAGGGATTACAGTCTATTAATTGTAGGCTAGAAGGCGCACGGAGAACAAAGAATCTGCCCTTTGCTTTTCTCACATAAGAAATTCAAACAGCCTTGAATTGATTAGCGTTATATTTGATTTTAATAAAATAACACTGATTACAATTTGGCTAGCTGACACCGGCTTTTGCGCATTTCAAGTCGAATCAAATTGCAAGCCCCAGCCCATTTAAAACGCGCACGCACGCACGCACGCACACACACAGAGACACACACATCTGCGAAGGATGGAGCAGAAGATCTGAGCAGGTCAATGAGAAGGTGGGATACAGTGACAAGGTCATCAGCGTCGTGAAAATGGAAAACGATCAGCAAAACACAAACAATATGGAAGAAATGAGGGAAAAAAATCCCAACACCTTTTTGTTTGTTCCTCCCTCTGTTCGGCGCTGAGGTAAACCCAGCTCCAGCTGCTCCGACCCTTTTGTGTTGCTGATGCTGCGGGTGCCCGACAGGGAGACGCACGCACCGTCAGTCCCGCACAGCTGCACGCGTGCGAGACGGAGATGGGAGGGTGTGGCTGCGAGAGAAAGACGAGAGGCGGCGGAGGCACACAGTGCAGCGCCCGTACATGAGCGCGATGCGAGCACGTTATACTGTAACGTAAGCGCGTGCTTATCGGAAGTTGTTTAAGAAACGAGGGACTGAATGGAAACGCTTTAACCGGCCCGAGGGGGGAAAAAACAGTGTTGCTTATTCCTGAAGGTGTTATGGGGAGTACTGTGTCTGTGGTTCACTGTAGTGACCCAACCGTAACTAAGGCCTATTTATAGCCTAACCCTCATCCATCATGGTGCGTCTTAGTCATTCTGATCTTTATTTATGATCTACAGTAGATGAGCTTTTTTTGTTTTTACTATTTTTTGACATTTTAACGACCCAAAAATTTATCAAGAAAATAGATGGCAGATTAATTGAGAATAAATATAATCGTTAGTCCCCGCGACCCTGTATGCAGGTTAAGCGGTTGACGATGGATGGATGGATATAATCGTTAGTTGCAGTGCTCTAATACAATGTCATCCTAAATATATACATATAGTCATTATTTAAAGATCTCTGCATGAGAGGACAGACACAATGAGCTCCAAAGATCAGACTGTATCCCTGCCTACATCAGTATGTTGAGGATAATCTCCAAACCTGAGAGCTTGTGTTAGCTGCTAAATCTCAAAGATTTAATATGTTTTAACCCATTAGCCACATTACAGGCAAGAAAACATAATATAACCATTTTAACTCTGAAGAGACCATGATTAACACAGACAGATTACTCCCCAGTGTAGATAATTGTTCCACAAAGTGTGCCAAGGATTACAATCAGAATCTGCCATTTTTTTCCAGGATTATGGTAATAGGCTCTAAAAGGAGTAGGCTAAATACAACCCCCACTGTAGCTCATGTAATTAACTAGCACCAGCTATGCTGTAAAACTGAGATCAAACTAGAGATCGAACATTGGCTTTTAAGAGTTACAAGCCTACTATTTCCATCCATAAGTAATTACGGTAAACAAAAATGTTGTCATCTTGAGAGTCTGAACCCTGGCCACATACATTGGTTTTAAAATGAATGTAGAGCTCACCAGGAATAGGTGGCGAATTAGGTTTTGAATCACAGTACTGTGGCAAAAGGTGATGTGAGCTCATCATTAATTGGATGGATGGGTGGACAGAGTCAAACCCCACACTGAGAGGAGTCCGGTGTGGGGGATATTACAAGAACTGAACAACTGGATTGTTTCTAACAAATCCATTACTACATTATACATTCATGTGCCTAAAGATTCAATCTTCTTCTGATTTGATGCGAACGTAACAGATATGGCAAAAAGAAAGGTAAACAAGGGAAGTGTTTGACAATTAAGTGTTCAGTTCAGCCAAAGATGACGTGGGAGGGCTACTCTGCTGAAGTAAAGACTTTGCTCCTCAGTGAGTATCAGAGAACAGCACAGTGCTCTGAAAAGCTTATAAAACGTCCAATCACTGAGGCAAATCCAGAATTATTGAACTACATCTCCCAGCTGGCATGGGGGCACTTCAGGATCCCCCAAGGAAGAGGTGCTGAGGACAAGCCTGTTCACAGCACCTCCTGTTGTAAGCACAGTGCTCACATATAGCCAAAAACCTTTCTCGCGGCAAATATGCTTACATTAAAAGATATTTTGACTAAATAAAATGTTTACTGAATTTACTACATATTACTCTAAACAGTTGCTTAATGTATTTAGTGCCTAGAATGCATCGGGGAGGATTTTACTTTGAAAATCTTAGCCGGGCGTCACTTTATTTTTATTCTTCTCGTTAGTTTGACATTAGTTTCCTCCTCAGTTGAAGACAGTGCCGTGTGAGCAGATATAACGATATATATATGAGCAGACTTCTTTAATGTAAATATTTTCCATTGGTTATTTGTTTTAATAGAATAACTTGATTAAAACAAGTTTTATTTCGACAGTTCAAACAGGAAATTGCTGTATTGACACCAGCCAACTTAACGCACTTTAAGTTAACTATGGGTACGTGGTAGGTAACCCACGGTTTTTTTTCTTACGTAGTAAGTAGCGGTAGTTGGCTGTTAACTTTAAAAAGCTACCCGTATTTAACAGACAAGCCGGACACACACGATGTTTCCTCGTAGGCAGGACTACGGGATGAAAAGGACCGGAGGAGTGCGGAGCGGCTCCTTTATGAACTTTAGGACAACGGTGAACTCGGGCTCCGTGCGCCGCAGCTCCGCGGTGCTGCCGTCGGTGCTAACCTTCCTGGTGATCGTAGCGTCCGGAGGCCTGCTGCTCATGATAGAGAAAGGAATGCTGAGCAGCATGGAGACGCCTCCACCACGGGGAAACAGCAAGCGGCTGGACTTCGTCCGCCAGGTTGGGAAACACAACCCGGCCGCTGTGGACGTGGACTCCCAGGTATAGTAATGTCGCGCACCACGAAGCTCTGCTGGAGTCTTAAAGAAAGTTTTTTTGCCAAGCGAACGTCTGCTGAGGCCAGCGGAGATTCTGATTTGTCCCGTGATTATGTATATCTCACAATATAACAAGAGTTGTGTCATAAAGTGTGTGCACAGCCTTTTCACAAGTGATGTGTGTTAGTGGGTAAAGGATGACTTTCAGTTTGTGTTCAATGGGAAAACCACCACCACCAACCACAAAACTGTTATTAAAAGTTCTGGTTTCTTATAGTTCTCATCAAGAAACCATAAAAAAATCCCTGCAAAGCTTAAGAGTTGGATCAAATGACAACCCGTTGGTCTGGCACAATCCCTTGCTGTAAATACATAAGTAAGTGTGCATATTGTTTATTTCTAACTCTTGGCTTTTTTCCCAGACACCGGACCTCTACCGTTAAGTTGGGGGGCTCTCAAAAGACAGATAGGAACTGTAAAAACAGAAACTAAGCTGAAGCAGCAGCAGCAGGGGCTGAATTTTCCTGACTTTTAGTCTTTAATATGAGCCATAATTCAACTTGATAGTCTTTAATAGTTTTAAGTAGATCCTCTCTGCTTGTTAAAAATCATCTCTTTCAAACTCAAACACTCTGCAGCTTCTATGCAGGGTTTCTGTTCTGAGATTTATCTCCAAACGGAAGTTACTCACGATGAGATAATCAGGGCTATTTTCTCAGACCTGATGTTACACAGCTGTTTTTACACAGGCTGATTTAATACCAACCATGACTAGTAAACTGGTGTGTATTTGTAAAACCTTTAAGTCACTGATCTGTGTTCACATTTAGATCCTCCAGGAGATCCGTAACCGGACCATCAGGACCATGTGCAGCCAGAAGAACACGCCCCACAGCGTCTGGTCCCTGAGCCCTGCGCAGAGGAAGACGCTGTTGCAGCACATCCTAGTAAATGATCAGTACCACTTCCTCTACTGCTACGTCCCCAAAGTGGCCTGCTCCAACTGGAAGAGGGTTCTGAAGGTTCTGAGCGGAGCGCTGGAGAGCGTGGACGTCAGTATCAAGATGGACCACCGCAGCGACCTGCTATTTTTGTCCTCTCTGAAACCTGAGGAGATCCGGTACCGCCTCAAGCACTACTTCAAGTTCATGTTTGTGCGGGAGCCTATGGAACGGCTGCTTTCTGCATACAGGAACAAGTTTGGAGAGATTCAGTCCTACCAGAAAAAGTACGGCGTGGAGATAATAAAGCGCTACAGAAAAGGTCTTGCTAAGGACGCGGCTGTAACAGGAGATGATGTGACCTTTGCAGAGTTTGTCCATTACTTGCTGGATGAGGACGTGGAGCACATGAACGAGCACTGGATGCCGGTTTACAACTTATGCCAACCTTGTGCTGTGAAGTACGACTTCATCGGCTCCTATGAGCACCTTGAAAGCGATGCAGAGTTTGTGCTCCAGCGCATTGGAGCGCCTCCCTATGTTCACTTCCCAGAGAGGCAAACGTGGTACAAGCCGGTCACCACAGAGACGTTACACTATTATCTGTGCAGCTTACCACGGAAGCTACTGAGGGAACTGCTGCCCAAGTACATCTTAGACTTCTCCCTCTTCACTTATCCTCTCCCCCAACACAACCACTGAACACTGTCGGCATTAAATGTACAATGTTTTATAGTTCTGAGATTATTTTTTATAGATTAATTTGTACAAACTGTATTGTGATAGCTGTTACACATTTTTACTTGAGATGTTTGAATATCATTGCAAAATGCTGAGTATTGGAAGAGATGGAGACTCGTCTTCAAAACCACTAAAGCTTGAAATTAGTTGGGGGGGTGGGGGGGGTCCTGTAAATCACTTTGTCCAATCTCAACATGTTCCTGTCATGCACTGTTACAGTAAGCGCACCATTTCAGTATACAATAATAGAAATGGAAATAAGGTTGCAAGACCAAACTTTGTATTTTGCTTGTTTCCTCATCTACACTTTGGAGAAGATAAATCTTGGCTTTAGTGGGCACTCGGTGGTTTAGCAGGCTAAAACACACGCCATGTACTCACAGGTTGGTGGGTTTTAAATCCAGCTCGTGTCGTTTTTGTTGTACGTCACAGCCTCTCCTTCCCGCCCGTCTCCCAACTTTCCTATAACTTTATGGGCTATTTACCTTGTATTAAAACAAAAGTTCAAGTTTTGTGATGCAAGTCACTGCAATTACTGTAATTTTTACATCACTTTATTTTGTGAATAATTTAATAATTTAAACATCATTAAAAAACATGGATATTAAGCATAATACACATAACCACAGGGCTGAACAAATACTTCTATTGCTACATGTGTGAGGTTATAGTTGCTGAGAACCAAATTTACTTCAGAAGCACCAACTCATTCTCAAAGCAGAATCCTAATTTTATCAATGACTGTGTAACGCACTGACAGAGATGAGACATTGCATACAGTCACATAAGTGGAGTCAATGAGAGGTTAAAATGTCTTATGGAGGCCTTCACAATTCATGTCCAGACTCAAGACTAGTGGTTTCTGACTCACTCATCAATGCCTTCATTTGTCTGTCTCTCTAGTCATTAATCCTTGAAGCTCACACTTCTGAAAAGAGAAAGAAAAGAACAAGAGACAAGTTAGGTGAAATAAGGAAGAGAACTAATTTTGAGGTTTTATCCAAAAGCTGAAATTCAATGTCCCAATCCTCACCTGTCTGCTGACTTGTCAGTGGAGCTGTTAAGAGCTCGGAGGATGGAGCGTTCTGGGGTGACGTGATGAGGACTGGTGGAGACGCCGAGGGGCGACAAACTCTGCAGGGACGAGAACGACACACCCTGTCTGCGCATCTCCTGGACGGCCCTCTCACTGAGAACAGAGATCAAGATGTATTGTTTGTGCCTCCACTGTGTTGTTACATCCTTGTAACTACATGTATTACAGCTGTGAGCACCTCAGAAATCAATGGTCTTATTTGAGAGTAACTTGGATATCTTGAGTTTTGTACTGTCGGTCATTTGAAGACATTGCCTTAGGCTATGATTAGGCTATATAAAGCTTTTATTTTAAATAAAAATGGCCAGAACAGTCTAAACTTAATTTTACCAAACTTCAGATCAAGAAATTGTTCAGGTACATGGAGGACATTCGCAGTACTGTCTCTACATCCTGATTCGCTACTTCAAAGATCAAACGCTATGAACGTCAGTTTTTGCAGCCTAGAAAAACAAGCTTGATGTGGGGAAATAACCTAGTTTGTGAACACTGTTGTTGCATCAAATAGCACCTCAATAACGAGGCCACAGAATAAACAATGTTATACAGATATTAGCTGAGTCATTTCACAAAACTAACATAAAATACCTTTTGTAATAATACTGACTGACTGTAATTTGTGTCAAACTTGCAGCTTTGGTTGAGTCGAGTTAAGTCGTTCCGCTCACCGTTCAAAGCGCTCAGTGGTCAACTGTCTTTTCAGAACGTCCATCTCCGTCTGCAGCTGGGAGACTTTGCCTCGGAGCTGGGACACCTCCCTGGCGTGCTCCGCACTGAGTGTATTTACACACGAAAAACAAACCGTAATCAACTATTTGGGGGTGGGCATTTTTATTCAAGTCTTAAAGTTCAAGCCAACAGTGGATTTGTTTACGTTCTGCTGTCAGCCAGGGTCAGCCTATCACGCAGGACCTTCAGCTCCGACTCCCTCTCGCTGGCTGTCAGGTGGGTTTGGAACTCCTTGTGCCGATTGGTGGAGAGCAGTGTCTCAAGGTTACGGACGGTCAGCCTCTCACTGGCCAGTTGTTTCTTAAGTAGCTCCGTCTCTGACCGCACATCCTCCAGCTCTCCTGTGACCTAGAAAACATGTAGCTTTTATTTATTTAGTTATCTATTTACCGAGATAGAAAACTACTGCTGCTGCTCCCCTGCACGTGTAACCTCGAGCTGAATGCAACCAGTTCACAGCAATGTTGATGTAAAGGCGGAGCAGGCCTCACCCTCTCTAGATCCATGCTCTTGGAAGTGAGCTGACGTGCAGTGAGCTCCTTGCCGGAGTCCAACTTGACACAGAGCTCCCTGACAGATGCCAGATCCGAGAGGAGAGCGGCCTTCTCCTCCTGTGTTTTGTGTAGCTCTTCCTCTAGTCGGGACATCCCACGAACCAACGATGATACTTGGGCTTCGTAAGCCTGTAGGGCCTGCGTATGCTGGGGAAACAGCAGGGTGAAAGCTACAGTTTATTCTCTAATTATTGCTATAACTTGGTGTATACTGTATAGAAATACGTATTTCTGCACAATGCAGATGTGTCAGATGTGCTTCTTCCATCCCATGTCTCACCTGCTGGAGTTCTCTCTTCTGGTGGCTGACAGTATCGCGGAGGTGTCTCCGTTCTGAGTCTGAAGACAGCAGCTCCATGCGGATGGAGTTATTGAGGCCTTCAGCCTGCTGCAACTTCTGCTCCCGCTCCTCCACCTCGGAGTGGGCCATCCTGAAACGATCCAGCAGGTCCCTGTTCTCCTGCTCCTGTGGGTCAACACCTAGCAGTCAGCTGGCAGGCAGGAGAGGGTGTATAGGAAGTCCAAGCAACTCATAAGACTGCTAAAAAGACTCTCCCAGGCAAAGCATCAGAAAGACAGTATCTACTTTAAAGAGGCTCAAACAGCTACAGGAGTGCACAGTTTTCTCTTGCCTTTGTGGCCATCAGTTTCTCTATTCTGGACACTTCAGAAATGTAAGAGTGAACCCTCAACTTCAGCTCATCCTTCTCATGCAAAGCCTCCTCCATCTCCACATGTACAGCCTGCACAAACAGACAACAGCAGCTGGTGTTATTTCTTCCTCATTTCCTTTGTACATGACACAGAAGAAACATAGACAGACTAAAGACTTCATACATACTTGGTTCTCTCTGGTCATTGTAGCCAGGTCATCTTGCAGCCTCCTGTTCTCCCTGACTGTGATTTCTTTGTCTCTCCTGAGTACAGCCAGCTCCTCCTGACAGGCATCCAGCTGCCTCCTCAGGCTGGTTATCTCCCTCTCACGGCTGTTTAACGCCCCCTGCAGCTGACTGCAAGGATCACATATTAATGTTGCCACAAGCTTGCTGAGAGAAACACATGGTTTTTGAACTTAAGACCACATTACTCACGCTAATGAGTTGTCCATGTTTGTGACTGTGAGTCTCACATCTTCTAGAGTCTTTTCCTGTGAAAATACCAAATAATTATGCCTTATTAATACTTTTCAAGCACAACTCATCTTTTCATTAGGTTCACATTTCCTTTGACTAACAAGAACTGCTGAAGCCCCACATTAACTTAGGTTAGTTTGAAGAAAGGATTTTGGCACAGAAAGATCTGGACTTTGGATTTGTCCCCCATCGCTTACCGTACATCGGAATTGCTTTTCCATAGCCGGTATGAACAGGAGGAAAGATTACAGGGGCCAATGATTTTTTAAATGTACATATGGGCTTGAGTATTGTTTTGGGTCCTGATTGAAAAAATATGCACCAATCCTTAAATAAAAGCTTGTGATGTTGATGAGGTTTCTCGGTCATGGCTACCTTTTTAGATTGTTCCTCCTGGAGAACAACCAGTTTCTCAGTCTTTTGATCCACCTCATCTTGAAGAGTGTCTTTTTCTCTATCCAGGGCGGAGATGGACTTGTGAAGAGCAGCCACTTCCTCCTTGTGCTTGGAGCCCTGCTGACTCAGCTCCCCTGTCAGATGAAACTAAAGTCAGGAAACAGCCACAGAAAATAATACGGAACAATACAACGCTGACTATAGCGGTCCGTCCTGAACAAAATATTCACTTATTCTCTCCTCCAATTTCTCAATCTGCTCATGAGCAGCACGCAGCTCATTCATCTTCACAGACAGCCTGTGTTGGGTATCAGACAGTGACTGCTCCATCTGCTCCTGAAGGAGCCTGTAGAGAGATGGGGAAAACTCCATCAGCCCTCTAACAAGTTAGCTTTCAGTTTGTCCACAGGAACAAAAGCAAGCATGGGGAAAACAAACGAAAACAGAGGGAAGCGATGACATACTAGACAATTGATAACACAATGCTATTATGAAAAGTAGTGAGAAGAAACTTTTTTTTTTGTATATAATGAGCAACATTTCTATAAGAATATGCATTTAACACACATTTCGGGCAGCAGAATTATGGGGCTATTCTTAAGGAAAGCTCAGGCACATCATAGTCATTTTGTTAATTTCCCGCATTTTGTTTTGACAAACCTCAGAGCATTAGACTCAGCCCTCTGCTGGGCGACCTCCTCTGCATTCTGGACCAGAGCAGCAGACCGAACCTTTAGCTCCTCCTCCACAGCCTCTCTGTTCTCCTTCAGCAGACACACCTGTGACCGCAGCTCCAGCCTCTCCCGCTCCAACTACTCACCAAAACACAAAATGTGCCAGGATGAAGTAGGACCAAAGTTACAGTAGTGACCATTACATATTAACTGGGTCCTGGGACTTTGGAATTGTACATTATAAGCACATGATTTATTTAAATAAAAAACAAAAATCATGCTTACACTCTTCATGGCATTCTCCAGGTCAAGAATCCTCCTCTCTTCTGCCTGTCTGTCTGTGAGAGCTGACGTCTGGGCAACCTGCAAACAGTTTGAATATTTGTGTGTGTGTTAGGCTAAAAACATTCCACACTAGTTAAAACTAGTTTACAACATGCCAATGCTGTCTCTGAGCTTAGATGAACAAGCGACAGATTTGAGTAGTGCTGCATCTAATGATTATTTTTATATATATATATCTTTATCAATTTATCCAGATTGTTAACAATTAATGTTAATCATAAAAAATTTGTCATTTAAAATGTCAGAAAATATGGTAAAATTGCCAAGATGAGGACTTCAAATGTGCTGTTTTGACAGGCAACCCATAGATATTCAATTTACTATAATATAAAACAAAGAAAAACAGCAAATATTGATGTTAGAGAAGCTGGAACCCTTGAATTTCTTTGCCATTTTTGCTTAAAGAAATGACTTATCTCTTATCAAAATTGTTGCTAATAAATTTTCTGTCACCCGACTAATTGATTTAGACTAGTTCAAAATATGTTAAACCCTACAGTCTGCAAGCTAACAAAAACTAACAACTTTGTTATTTTACAGCTTACGAGATAACCTGTCTTTGAGACCATTACGCTGGATCATGAAAGGCATTACTCTTAGACTAACCTTTAATCTCTCCATCAGTGTGTCTCTTTCAATGCTCATCTGCTCGATTCTGATTTCTGCCCGTTTGATGTCCTCCTTCAGTTTCAAGGGGTCAGCTGACACATCTGTGCTACGGGCCAGCTTAAGGTCCTCTTGAGCCTGAGTGAACAAAAACATTTGGTCCATAAAAGTTTCAGATAAATAGGTTCCAACTGGTGGAATAATGTTTCTAAAACCCACTTGCTTAAACAGCGTTTTAAAGTGGTCTCTCTCAGTGCTGAGGGCCTTCACGTCCTTCTGGATGTCCTCCATGTGCTTCTCAAAGTCCAACAGGGCAGCCTTCAGCTCATCTCTTTCCATTACTAAACGAAGCAGTTCTGTCTCTGAAACACCTCCCTGAAATTTTGAGGCCATTATCTACTTGTTGTGTCCGTTTTTATGAGGATCACATGAAAATCTATTGAACAAAATGTTTTTCTTACCCTCGTTACTTTGGACAAAGGACTCCTACCCCTGCCTGGACTACGGCTGGGGCTTAAATCCAGGCCACCAGCCCCTCTGGCTCGTTTATAGCGCTCGGCCTCGTGGCGATAGTAATCCCTCTCCTCCTCTAGACTCTTGACAAATGCATCCAGCCGCGATGGGGAGCGCTCCCTTCCACAAACACCATGTTTAGCCCGCATGGTCTCCAACTCCAGCACCAGGTCTTTGTCTAGGAAACAGCAACAAGTCAGTAATACATGCATGTCAACAATGTAAAGCTGCTATAAGAACCACAGTTGAGGTAAACCAAACTGCTGCTTACCAGCTGCCATCATTTTCTCAATTTTGTCCTGCAGCCTGATTTTCTCCTCCTCCAGGAAATTCACTAGTCCCTCCATTTTCTCATTCTGCTCTTTGAGCTCCACCAGCTGGTCTCTGAGACGGTCTTTTTCAAAGTCACCTTCAGACCGCTCCTGAATTAGATCATTACCAAGAGATTCTGGATTTAGCTTGCACAATCAAACATAGGACAGATATTTGGCACGGTACAGTGGTTTATGCTCACTGAAGGATGTCATTTATATAATAAAATTTAGGAGTATTCCAATTAAGGAAAATAAATATATTAAGTATAGAATATTTACTGTACATACCCTTCTCATTTTTGTGATAATGTCCTCCAATTCTTCGATGACTCTCTGTTGCCTTTGGATTTCTTTCTGTTGAGAAAAGAGATTTCAGGTTTGAGTGTCTTCACTGTATCCATTCACACTTTCTTACCCACATAACGTCTTTCCACACACACTCCCATGTTCTTACTTTAGTTTCTTGCAGTTCCACATCAGCGGTTTCCAACACGCGCTCCTTGTCCATCTCCAGCCGCTTCGCGAGGTCGTCTATGTGCGTCAGCTCTTCACACAGTTCCAGGTTCTTTAAAGACAGATTGGCCACTTCGGTGGAGGCATCCTTCTTCCTCTGCTGCAGTCCCTCTACCTTCTGCTCCAGTGTCCTGTTGGACTCCTGGAGGTATTCGATCTGTGTAACACAAAGCAGCAGCTCAACAGAGAGGATGGTGGGTACTTGCAACCATGCAGACCACTTCCAGAGGAACTGGGCTCTGTTGTAGGATCTCTGATCATCTCATGCTCCAGAAATATTCTATATGTATTCATACATCAGCGAAAATATACTATTTGACTGCTATGCTTGCCTGAAGGTTCAGATGGGCGATCAGTTTCTCATTGCTGATGTTCTGAGCCTCGAGGGAAATTACATCATGAGGTCGTCCTCCCTGGAGAGCACGATTCAGACGGTCGATCTCTTTGTCCCTCCCATCCACCTGCGCCAACAAAAAAAGAAAAAGCAACATCTCGTCTCCTCTTTACTGACATTTACCATGTCACAGCATAAAATGCTTCTAGTTCATTTATTTCTTACCTGTGTATTCAAGTGTTTTATAAATTCCTGAGCATGTTCCAGGTCAAGTTTGACCTTTATGATGTCTTCCTGTAGCTCGTGAATTCTACAAACACAAATGTCTTAGTCAGTCAGTCGCTGAAGCGAGCTGCAATTAACACATCCATCAACTAGTTCCCACCTCACTCAATAATACAGTTTAGCTGTCACAGATGAAAACAAACCTTCCATCTGCCAGCTGCAGCAGGTCAGCTATATACGGATCATCAGGCTGCGACACAGGATACGCTGAGGTAGAGGAGGAAGGTATGAGCTCATCAATCTGCATTCTCTGACGTCTGAAAGGGATGCTGCGCTTCTTTCCACCTGTGAAAGTGTGAGAGGAAATGAGGCCACAATTCTTCCATTATGATTAACAATTGACTTTCAATATGGTTCAGCGAAAATGTTTTTGACCAAAAATGTACCAAAGTCAAATATCACTTTCAATGTGTTGTCACAGGGCTTAGGTGAGACCCCTGGCATTACCTGGTGTCTGCACCACAGCTTGCATGTTCTTCTCCTGCAGCTGTTGGATACGCTCAGCTTTAGCCTTGCTGTCCTTCTCCAAGCAGCGAACTTTGTGCACATACTGATTATTTAAAAACTTCAGGTCAGATGTCTCATGGTCCAGTTTTCTGATGTGGGTCTTGAGCTCTGAAAGAAGAAATGATCGTGTTGAAAACATCAAACCGTTTTTTTGTGTGTGGGTCAAGGATGTGGGAAAATGCTTCAGACTGCACTGGGGAGGGGGACCAAGCTTTACCTCTGGTGACACGGTCCTTCTCCTCCTTCAGCTTGAGAAGCTCGAGGTGCAGCTCATTGTTCTCCCTGACCACTCGAGCATTTTCTGCCCTGTGTGGCTCCAGAAGGGCATCAAGGTTTCGACTTTCTTTTTCAGTTTTCCCTGCTGACAGTTTGGCATTGCGAAGACTTTCAGTTGTGTGGACCAGGTCACTGCAACACAGAGGAAAATATGTCTTTTGTAGATCTCATCTGTTCATCAACTGTTACTGACTCGCTGGCATTAAGGAGAGCAGGTGCCGAAGGTCTCACCTGAATAGTTTCTCCACTAGTGGCAGTGACTCTATTGCCAGTGGCTGTCGGTACCCCAGCTGATCCAGACGCTTCCTCAAATTGACGAACTTCCTCTCCGCGCTGTTGTTCATGGCTGTGATGTGACACAATCAGGGTGCAAAATTAGCACCAGGCACATGCTGGTAAAATATTCAAATGGCTGGTAGATTTACTTCTCTCAGCAAGATATGATGATATGAATGATAATCTAATGAGTGGCTGGTACACTTCGGAGCATTCACTAGCCATTGGCTGGTGAACATTTGCACCCTGGACACCATAAAGCAACGATTAGCGTTACAGTTGATACTTAAATTAACGTAAATTGATCAGACCCGTATTGGTTAGGGGGGTAACATCAACCTACATTGGCTGATAAACTTGCTAGTTAGCCAGTTATTTGATGTTGGCTAATGTTATGCAGCTAACTTAGCTTACAGGCTAATAATCCAATATTAGCATTAGCGTTATGTGTGGATAGCCACTGAGCTAGTATTACCTGCTTCTGAGATAACAAATATAACGTTAGCATTAGACTAATCAGCACCGTTCAGCTAAAGTTACCGTTAATCAATTAGCAAGCGTTAAATCTCAGGAGTTTGCGTCACCATACCTTTCTTGGAAGGACACCGCTTTCCTGACAGCTAGCCTGACTAACGTCAACTTACGGCATAAATGTCTCGCTTGGACGAAGTATAATATAATTACATGTTTATTAATAGCATTCCACTTTGTTCTGTTAAGGTTTAATAACCAACAACTGTTGCGTTAACATGTTTCCGCGGTAGAAGGGTTTGAAAAGAGCGCCGATGATCTCTGGTTTGGATTCGTCACCATGGAAGTGGCTGTGGATCATCTGTGGCGGCGCGTTTAGTGAGCCGGCGTTGTCCGCCGCCCAGGGCGGGGTCGGTACAGAGATTGAACCCAAGCATAAAAAGAAATATCTAATGTCATGTGTTGTTTAACAATAAAATAAAATATTGATACAGCACTGAATGGGTCGGCAACTGCAAATTTATTATGTACATATGGCATAAAGACATAACAAAAATATAACATAATCAATTCAGTATTTAGAGCAGAGAGGTGTTGAACCTCAAATGAACAGGCGCACACACACAATGCAGAGATATCTGCATGACCACTGTCCAGTGTACAAATCCCTTTCATTAAAATACACAGGCGCACACAGAGAAGAAATGCTCATTGTCCAAAACAACAATAGAGGGTAGTTTGTGAGTAGCTAGTGTATCTCTTGCCTGTGTGAGGCAGTAGTGAATCATAGTGCATAGCAGTTAGACTAATGAGACTGAGCAATGCTGGAAAAGTACTCCAACATGTCCTGGATGGTAAAGTCCATGGTGATTCCAGATCCAGGGTAGCATCTGCCGATCAAATCTTCAAAGTGCTTGTACTGACGGATGAACTCGTCTTGCATGGAGTGCCACACCACCTGGTGGAGAAAAACAGGAAGGGCAACAGAGAGGAGATGAAGAGACATGACACCACTTATCAGCTGAGCAGTTCGACCCCTTAAAATGTTTCATTTCTCACCTGTAGCAGACTCTCTTCTTCACACAGATGTTTGTCCACCTTCTTGTAGAGGTTGTCAAGTCCCTTTTTCACCTCTTTGCCAGGATACTCTTTGATAACTTTACGCAGCTCTTGTTTGTTGAAGGCCAGCTGGTAGCTCACCTCCTCCTCGCGAACGCCCTGGGCTACACGTGCCTCAACTCCTTCAAAGAAATGCTGCAGGAGAAAGTTAAGAGTTTACCACCGCTGAGTAAATGCTCACATCCTGCATATCACCACTCATGTCCAGGAACACGCCAAATGTTTGTGATAACTCTTAAAATACACTATGACTTACATTTAGTTTTTCCAGAGGCTGGCCCAGAGAGTTGATCACATAAGACTGCAGATGGTCTGTGTATTTGTGCTTGGCCTCTCGCCTCTCAGCCTCCAGGCATGAGATCTTTAGACGTGACAGTGTGGAAAAGATGTGGTGGAAGTTCTCCATCATCACAACGTCCCGCGGCGTCTTCTGGCTTTCATTGGCCACCTTCTCCACTAAAAAAACAAACTATATTCAGAACTTTGTTTACCAGACATCACATAAACACCACATCATCTATAGCCAAGAAGCAGGTGCTTTTGGTTGACCAGCGGTCTCACCATTCATGAAGACAGCCCTGATAAGTTTGACATAAGCTTTATCCAGGTCCCCTCTGCGCTCTGCGTTACGGAAGATTGTTTCAGCCAGCTCGGCAAACTCCTCAAAGCCAGTAACAAAAAGCAGGATCCCAACTTTGCTTTTCTTAGAAATCTTCACTTCCTCCATCTGTCTGATCTGTCCAGACTGTGAGAAAAAATAGATTGTGTTGGCACGACATCTCCATTTTCAAAAGACGAGAATATTCCTCATCTTTTGGACTCTACTCACAATGCATTTGTCAAAGTTCCTCTTGACAGTGACCAGCACATTTCCCAAAGTAGTGCTGAGGTAAGACGCCGGGTCAACGTTCTCAGCTGTCCACACATGGTGACTCATCTTCACCAGCATGTACAGAGAGTTGAAGCTGTCTATCTTGTCGCCCAGAGCAATGAGACTGTTGAGCTCCGTCTCGATGCTCTGGAAGATTTTGTTCATCATCAGCCGCACCATGTCTTTCCTTGAGTCACGGGGAGGGAAACGAGTGAACGAAACAGAAAGTTGAGGGGGAAAAAAGCAGTGACAAGTGAAACAAGGATAAGGGAGCGATTCATAGAAAATATAAATAATGTTTCTGGCAGAGAAGATGACTTATATACTTATACTGCCACTGCTGTGCCACTACTCACTCTGATGACATGGAGTATCTGTGTTCAGCCTGGGCAGGCACTCTTGACAGCATGCCTCCATCTGATTCCTCTGTTTCAGGCTGACAAGAAAAGAGACATAAAACATGACAAATCTAAACAAACATCTGCTGACATATATGAATGATGCTGTAACTACAAACAAGCCGTGCCTGTTATTGCTCTATTATATCACGCTTTCAGGCAAGAAAAATGTTCCAATTTCAGATGCCACCACACATGAGTACAGCTTCTAACAACAACGACAACTCATCAGCAGGTGGTGTACCGTATGATCCTCCTGTCACCTATTTCAGATACCTGGTCATATTTACCTGAGCAAGAGGGGGTGTAACTGTCGGGTGCTGCTGCAGCTTGAAGAACTTGCTAATGAAGTCTTGTTCTGCAAGACACAGAGGCTCCAGCTCACTGAGGACCTGCTCAAATATCTGCAAATAAGAAATAC